GTGAGGGTGGTAAATGTGAAAACATAATGATTATTTTCTAAGCATGTTCTTCATGAATTACTTGTATAGGCTTAGAAACTATGTGATTAGATATATGCCTATTGTTTGATATTGTGTGGTATGGTGTGATGATAGGATGTATGATAGAATAATTTAATATGGTCTAATATGTGTTGTTGGGCGAGTCTGAGTTTGGTTGCGTGCCAATTGATTGGACGAACCTGAGATTGGTGATTAGATGAGCATGGGAGTGGTTTTGTCTTTGTGATTAGATGAACCTGAGATTGGTTCGTGCCATGCTAAACCGACGGGATTTCAGTTTAGCTTTATTGTTGATGATTTTGTATATGTTTTAATAATGTAAGAATATGTATGTTTGTTGGACGTACGTCTGAGAATGTGGAGTCTGATTCTATGTTATGCACTGATTGTTGAGTGTGATTAGAATTTCGTCATTGTGTTTATCCATTTTATCTTTTCTTCAGGTTAATATGTCTTATGAGACGTGAAACAAGTTTTATGACTCGTGGATGTTAAAAAAATAAGCGTTTTGGTGGGACCATATAAATAACACGCTGTCTTGGCCTGTAAGGTGGTACATTTGTTACAGCTGTAGCTCAAAACAATCGTGAAAGGAAGAAATAACAATGAATAACAGTTATTTTGAATAGGGTTTTGGACAATGATTTATAGTCGTTCTAGTGGGAACTAGATCTCAGAGTAAGGTGTTTCTAGAATGCACTCGCTACAACTGACTTAATCTCTAGCCGCGGTGAATTTTTCCTACGAAAAAACAATTGAAAATCGTGAAACCTAAGACCCTAAAAATAGATCTGAGATGCCGTTTTTAAGAAAATGTTTAGAAGTCTAAAACTAGTCCGATCTGCTAAAATTTGGTGGACAGCTTCGTGGAATTGAAGGCTTTATCAATAGTTGGATAAAAATTTAACGATTCAATCTGAAGTGTTATTTGTGCGTCTCTAAGGCAAACAAATGAAGTATTATGCCTTAATAAGTGGCTAATGTGAGAGCGTGTGATTGGTGGGTGCTTTATGGCGAACTTGATGAGATTTTGGTTTAGCGTTATTGATGACTTTGCATGTTGAATTGTTGACGAATAGAATAGTATGAAAAATATGTGATATGTTAATTACACATAGGATAAGATGATGAAATAGGTTTATGTTAATAGATTGTGTGGTATGGTTTAAATAGTAGTAAGAGCATTTGTTAGGTTGAAGAGTGCATGAAAGTGATATGTTTGTTGGGTATATACCTTAGAATGTGAAGTCTGAATCTATGCTATGATTATTGTTGAGCGTTAGTAGATTGTAGTTATTATGTTTTAGTGGGCAAAATTGACCCATCCTTGAGTAACTAATTAATTAATCACTCCTCTTTTCCTTTTTCCTTCAGGTTAATACGATGCGGGAGTTATTGAAGGATTTGTTCGTAATTTTAATTTTACAGAATGTTTTGGTCCAAAACTTTTGGACCAACCAAAAAGTGAACACGATGACCAGTCCTGTGTGGCAGATCGAATGTTACACTTATGCAGTATATTAATATATGAACTTATCTTCAAACACTGCTGCAAAAAGTGCCACTACCAGGTCGTCAAGGAGAGAGTAGCGAATTCCAATCATGAGTAATTGAGTAGAGATACCAATTTCGTATAGGCTTGGATAGTACGCGGTTCAACAATACAAGATTCAGTCTTCAAACAATCCTCGTCTCTTCTGATACATTCTCAATGGTCTTGCAGGAAGAGTGACATCAAAATCCTTACTCGTACCGCTGTTTTTAAGATTGAACTAGTGGGAAGTGGGATTCTTGGCTCAAGGTCCACAGTCCAAAGGTCGAGGTAAATACGTGTTTTCATGTTTCTACTATGGAGGACAAGTCATGAAGATAATCAATGTTACCAACTTCATGGATACCCGGATGGCATAGCATTTATGGACAGGGTTGTGGTCATAGCACTTGGAGTATCAATAGTGATCATGTCCTCATGGGAGTAACAATAGTCTGATCATCTCCCAGTTTTTACCAACAAAACCAATGAAATTTTCCAAAAAAATGGGCCGAATCATAAGTATATAGCTTGAAGGCTATAAGCATCTGCTTCTACCAAAGCCTGCTCTAATCACAACATTTTACGAAAAAGTTAGTCATACCATGAGTCATACCCTATTATGGATTGTGAAATTCATTATTTTGATAGAACGTGTGAAAAAAAATTCCACACAAAATCTATAAAATTTAACACCCTAAATTATCTCATGTCCTCCCTCTTCGAGGATAGTGGACTAAGTCGCTGTATTACCGGAAACTATCTTGACCATAATATTAGAATAATTTCCCTTTTTTGGAAAACATTAAAAAGTACAAACTTTATTTTGAATTGTCGTCTTATGCTTATGTTTTGTTTAGTTCTTTCTTTGATGAACGAATCACTTTTTTTTTTGTCAACTTTTTTTTTTTTTGTCAACATGAACGAATCACTTATCTACGTTATTCAAGAAGATTCATAAATTCTAAAATTCAAAAATCTGCAAATTCAATCCAAACAAATTTTAAAATCACTATGTAATAAATTTTATATTGTTTGAAAATTAATTTAAATTTTCTAATCAAAGTATTAAATTTTGATCTAAACAAAAATGAGTTTTCATTCAAAGAAAACAAAAGATAATAAAAAGATTTTCTGCAAAAAACGCTAATAGTCGCCAATTTTTGTAACTTTATTGTGGAAAGTCGGCTATTTCATACCCAACCTATACAGTAGTGTTCAATTCATACATGAAAGTTTACTATGTGCCAATACATATCTAATCTTTTAAAATTTTTAAATTTTATAACCAAACTTATCAAATTGTGCGAAATCACACAACTTTTGTCTTTATTGCTGACGTGGATGCCACGTCGTTGATGACGTTGATGATGTGGTTGCCACGTCTTTCATGACGTCGTTGCCACGTCATCACCATTTTAAACAAAAATAAAAATTTTTTTTTTTTCTCTTCTCATGTTTTGTGTCCATCACTATCATCCAACGGAATTGTGAAAAAAATTATATATTTAATGTAAGAATTTAAAATCTTCTTTTCAAAACTTATAACGAATATTTTAACCGAAACTAATATTTAAACCGAGTTTCTAAACTCAAAATTCGCAATTCTTTTTCTAAAAATCTACAAATCGCTTTCAATGAAAAATATAAACCCTACAATAATCTTAAATATTAATCTTTGAAGATATTTTTTATATTTATTGTCATTTGATAATTTTTTTTAGAAACAAAATATTTTTTTATATAAATTAATTATCATTGGCAATTAGGATTGTTTGAATATATATATATATATATATATATATATATATATATATATATATATATATATAAGTATATATATATATATAAGTTAAGATACAAAGACAATATTACCAGTAATGAGAAATTGTATTTTGTTCTTAAAATACAATTTATTCTAATAGTAATATATGTAATTAAGTTCTCTTTTTTTGTTATCAACTTAAAAATGTCTTTTGATTAATATAGAAAATATATTGTAAGGGTTTATGTTTTCTACTAAAGTGATTTGAAGATTTTTAGAAGAATTGCAAATTTGGAGTTTATAAACTCGGCTTAAATATTAGTTTTGGTTGAAATATTAGTTATCAGTCTCGAAATGAAGATTTTAAATTCTTACATCAAATATATAATTTTTTTCATAGTTCCGTTGGATGATAGTGATGGAAAAAAAATGAGAAGAGAAAAAAAATTAATTTTTATTTTTGTTTAAAATGATCCACGTCATGAAGTATGTGGCAACCACATCATCAACGTCATCAACGACGTGGCATCCACGTCAGCAATAGAGACAAGAGATGTGTGATTTCGCACAATTTGATAAGTTTGGGTATGAAATTTGAAAATTTTAAATCATTGGGTATGTATTGACACATAGTAAACTTTCATGTATGAATTGAACACTACTGTATAGGTTGGGTATGAAATGACCGATTGTCCCACTTTATTGTCCATTTCAAAAAAAACATAGATTAATCTTTCAAAGTAAAAAATAATATGCAATATAAAATTTATACATATGTTGTAAATATTTTCAAAATCATATACATTAAATTTTAAAAATTTTAAAGGTAGAGTTGAATTTTTTATCACGAGGACGACCAATACACATATTATTTATCAAAATTTTATAAATATAATGGTACCAAAAAAATTTATTTTTGACTTCCTGTGATTAATCTGTATTTTTCAGAAATAAAGAATAATTTGTCAAAATTGGCGAATTAGATTTTTTTGTACAAATCTCATAATCAAGATCGAGTGAGGGATTTTTCACTTGATACAGAGTATTCGGGATACCGTTGTTTTGTAGATGGATCATGGAAAGAAAGTGATAAGTTCTCCGATACAGGCTGGTTCTGTACATCGTCAAATGGAGAGCCGCCAACCATGGGAGCTGCGAACCTCCGTAGAAGTCTATCTCCACTACATGCCGAAGTCGAAGCCCTTCTCTGGGCGATGAAGTGTATGATTGGTGCAGATAATCAAGAGGTAGCGTTCTTTACAGACTGTTCAGACCTGGTGAAGATGGTGTCTTCTCCAACCGAATGGCCGGCGTTTTCAGTGTATTTGGAGGAATTTCAGAGTGACAAAGAGGAATTTTCATCTTTTTCTTTATCTTTAATTTCTCGTAGGGCTAATGTTAAGGCGGATAATCTGGCATGAAATGTTCGTACAGAATCGCATCATATCACCTATGTAAACAACATTCCTAAGAAATGACTCTTTTGAGTTCTAATTAATTGCGGATGACAAAAAAAAAAAAAAAAGTAAAATGATTTTGTTGAACTCAGAGCAAGATTTTCAAATTTTGAACAAGAATATGCCGATCCCACATGTTTTAGGCCCGTATGGATTTTTAATCCAGCCCAATACAAGCTTTTTTTTTTTTTTTTTTGTCTCTTACCAACTCATGTAATGCGGCAATTCAAGATGACACGTGTATTCAAATTAGGGTTTTCTCACTTATCATCCGTACATAAAAACGCCGCCGCCAATCTTCTTCTATGGAGCGTTTCCAGATCTGAAGCTTGAAGTCGAGTCCGAAATCAGGTATTCCACTTTCTTCTTTATTTTTTCTCCTCTTCTTCGTTGTGATTATGGTCACGTTGGTGTGAGAGTCTTTGAAGATTTTCCAATCTTCTGCATTTTTTTTTCCTGGGATTTTCGGTTGAAAACTGGTTTTCAATAATTTCTCGTCATCTGATTTCGTTTTTCTTTTGTTAGATCTGATTTCACTTTTTTCTTTGTTTTCCAAATCAATTTTGATGAGATCTTAAGCAGAATTCTCAAACAGTTTTGGGATGTGGATTTAGTTTTGGGATGTGGATTTGAAACTCAATCATTTGAAGTAAGCCCAATTTGAAGATGAATTGTCAGTATAAATCTTTGATCCAATATACTTTTGATTAGTAGATGAGTTTTTTTTGACAATTATCAATTATATTAAAGAGTGATCAATTAGTATTGGAACAAAGTTTTATACTGACAATTCGATCTTAAAAAGCAGAAGCTTTTCAAAAAGCTGAGTATTTTTTGAAGTTCTTCTTGAGTAGATTTTTAGATGTTAGCATTAGATTTTGTTTTGTTTTGTTTTTGTTTAAGAGTTTGGATGTTTGCTCTGAACTATGTAGATTAATCTACTTGTGGAGTAGACTACTTTCCTATTAGTACAAGTTTTGGCTTACAATGATGTAAATCAAAACATTGATGGAGTAGATGGGGTGTTCTAGCCGGCAAGGGTATTAATCTCAAGAATAGATCGGTCTAGGCCGCAAATGGATGTTCATTTGCGGCCATAATGACCATCTTTATGTTTATTACCCTATAGTTCAAATGACTTTTGATACTTTCTTGGACAATAATGGCTATGGTCATTACAATTGTTTATAATTCCTATTTCTTCAAAACAAATTTATGATTGAGCAAATCTCACTTTTTGTGAGAGATCCTTATCCCACCCAACTCAATTCATAGTATAATTTTTACTATGTGCAGCTCTCCTCTTGGTAAAAAATGACTCAAACCAATTTGCCATTCCAAGTTGGTCAAATTGTGGAGGTGAAATCCTTCATCAAAGGATACCGCGGAGCTTGGTTTCGATGCAAGGTAATGCGGCTATCAATACGTAATGTATCCCAATTCTAGTACATCTATAGGAAAACAAAAAGGCATGTTGAAGAATTCTTTGAATTTGACACATGTAACACTGGTGAACACATTAAATACCCCATCTTTTTTGTTCACTTAAGTTCATTTGGTAGCCATATTCTGTAACCTTTCGTTCCATGTGAATATCTTATGAAGATCCTTTTTAACAATTCTAGGAACTGTCTTTCTTTCAATAATGTGAACATATGTTTTTACTTGAGTGTTGTTAACAATAGGCACTTTTAACATATGGCAAGTCTTGTTTGGATTTTGTCTAGTCATTTGAGATATCATTTACCCAAAACTTTCAATTTTAGGTCAATCTTTGATAGGAGTAATGTGGAGTGCACATAAGTATCTTGAAGACTAGTTGTAAGAATTACATACTAATCACTAGAACTACTTGTTAAATTACTATTTGATGCAATGTTTTGTTCTTTCTCCTTAGGCATTCCTCTGTGAGTGCCCATCCTTGCCACAAATCCAACAACCTTTGTTGTTTAGAGATCTTAACTCAAATTTACATACCCCTCCATTGTTTTTGTTGCTCTTTGGTTGTTTTCCTCTTTCACTTCCAAAATTAGATTTCCTTTCGCTAGTAAACCTTTTTCTTATAGCTCCATCTCAATGATCCTTTCTATTCTTAGCACTCAACGATACCTCCTGGTTAGGTACGCAACAGGCTCCGAATCCAATCATCGAGCGTAATATCGTCCGTGAAGTAACTGAGAATGATAGGTGGTAAGTAGTTCGATGCGCAAGCACGAAGACTGCAAACACTAGTTATCCGATCACCACTCATACGCCGAACGTTCAATTGACCCAAAAACATCAATCGTTCCCACAAATCCTGCCAAGCCCTCTTAAATCCAAAGACCAATCTTCTCACTCTTATGGAGGTGTCTTATATGCCTCTAGACTATGAGCTACTTGGTTAATTCAATGATTTTTCTTTGCAATTCGAAACTCTTATCTTCTTTACATAGAACTCAGTGGACCCTTTGGGTTGGGTATCAGTTTGATGTAAACCCAACTATCATATTTACTTCTTTTGAATCTCTTCATAAAACACACCAATTCTTCTTTTTCTTTTCGGCCTATATATGAGGTTGTGCCATATATATCTCTTCTTCGAGTTTTCCATGAAGGAATGATGTGTTAACATCTAACTTCTCTAGTTCCAACTCTTTGGGCACTAATTTCTTACGAAAACATGTTTTATTAGATGAGAAAAGATTTCATTGTAATTTGTTACTTTAACTCCCATCTTCCTCAATTTCTCCTTGTAACTTTGATGATCTCCACCTACTCTATATTTCAATGGTTCGTTGACTTTAATACAAGTTTTTGTATCTCTGTTTCGTTTTCCAGATCTTTATAGCTTTCATTCTTATTGATCCAATGCATTATACAATCAGTAGTATTAGGAAGATACATATGCATTAAGTCTAATACAGGAATCAGTCAAACATTATAGAATTCATCTTAATGTTGTCATCATATTTGAGATGCTTTTCTGGTATAAATAGTCGAACTAATGTAAAATTTCAACGTCTTTTGTTTTTGATGGTTAATTAGATATTGGAAATGACCAATGAAAATGGAGAACTAAGATACAAGTTTAAGTATCTTGACTTTCCAGATGAACGTGAGTTTTATCCTCCAAGTATATATCTATTTTGTTTTTTAACTATTACCAATATTAGCTTAACAATTTTTGCAAATTATATATGTTTCAGCGTTAGATAATGCACTAGTCTTTGAAACACCTAAAGGTGGGACGGAAAGTCAGCTAATGCTTCGTCCCACATATCCACCACATTATCATGAAAGTGAATATGTTAATCTCGAGGGTGACGTAGAACCTCTTGTCGTCGTTCATGATTCTTGGAAAGTTGGAGATTTAGTTGATTGGTTGAGAGATGAAATTTATTGGTCTGGAGAAATTGTGGCAATGAAGGGTAGGAGATCATGTCAGGTATGAAACATGTTGCTGTTGTGAAGTTTTTTATTGTTCTTTAGTTTTATGCTTTACTCTTTGACATTTGTTTCGTTGTTTTTTTAGAGACTAAATGAAATTGCCAATCATCTTATTTGCAGATCGAATTGCTACCTAAACCAGAGGGTGAAGGAGAGGTTTATCTAGGTTTGTGTAAGAATTTGCGTCCACGGTTGGATTGGTCAGTGGAAGATGGTTGGAAAGTGCCTTGCACTGTGGTTAGTTTTTCATTTCTTGTATCTGATTCTGTTTTTTGTTTCTGAGATTTACTCAATAGATGGTAAGATTAGGATATTTTCACGTCATTGGTTAAAATTTCTGGTTCTTGAATAGTTTTGTTTTCAAAATTGGTAACCTCATTTGCCATAGTTGCTGATCTTTATTGATCACATGTCTTGTAGGATGGGCAAAAATGTGCTAAGATCGTGACATCTAAGAATGAAGGTTAGATTTTCTAATGGTTATGTGTTTATTGATTTCGTTTGGTTTTCTTGAACATCTGTATGACTCATATTTTACATTTAGATGAAGGAATTGCAGATGAATGCGAAACTGCAAAAGAGGAAACGAAGAAAGCCACAAAGCAAGTGGAAGGCAGTGAAGGTCTTAGGCTTAATATCATGGAATCAGAATCAATTGAAGCTGCTGTTTTGGACATAGAAGAGCTTATTGTTCGACTTGATTGGCTTAAAGGAAAATTAAAGCCGGATGTTGGAGAAGGTGCAAAACCTTATTGGAAGTATGAAGATTACCGCCCATCTTCCTCGGGAAGATGAATTCGTAATGGTAGTAGGTATGTAATATTCAGTCCCTTACTGTCTTGTGGTTTGTTTATAATTCAGATAGTAGATATCCAAATTACCTTTATTTGATGCAGAAAAAAACTGAAGTTGTTCATGAAGAAAGTAGAGAAAATGAAGAAAAAGAATCGACGAGTAAAATGTGGAAGACACGACGACACGTACGTGAGTAGGAGGAAGCCAAATATATTAAGTAGGTTCAGGTTGTTTATATCTTTTTAACTAACTCTAGAATGCTTAAAGACTAGTTTCAAAGTTTGTACATATGTTTTAGGACAGCTTGTCACAAAAGGTGAAGTAGTAGTAGTTAATCGTAATTTGAAAAACAAAAAACAAAACCACCGAAAACAAATATAGTCAACTCTGTTGTTTATTCCTTCTAGTGGAGGAAGAAGAAAAATATATATATATATATATATATTATATATATAAAAAGAAGAAAAAGGAAAATATATGTTGGTGTCGGCAAGAGTTGTCAAAGACATAACACACAAGAAAAAGAAAAAGAAAAACAAAAAGAGAGAGAAGAGAAAAAGAGAGAGAAAGGGGAATTCGGCCAGATTATTCAAGACAACGTTTGAGGGCTCTAAAGTGTTCTGATCGGGCTGATATTTTGTGGATAGCTTCGTGACTCAGTGGTCTTCAGATTCAACGGTGGAGATTTGGTTTCAACGGTTGGTTTGTGAGAAATCCGAGTTTTAGCGTAGCTGGTCGCCATAGTTCTTCAGCTGGTGTGGTCTTGAGTGTTTGAAAGATCCAACGGTGAGTTCTTCTCGGTTTGAGCTGAAATTTTGCAGAGGTGTTCCTGACCTGTTTATCTAGGATTTGTACGGTGGAGATATGATTTGGTGACCGGAATCTTAGCGAACCTAGGGTCGTTTGGAACTGCATATTTTAGGCTCTTGTTGCTCTCTGTTGTTGAGTTTTTCTTGTGTTGGAGATTGCTCTTTGGAGCCTTAGTCTCTGTATCTGTTCTTGTGGAACAGGGAGGACGTGGTTGTAACACTCATACATTTGATATAGTGGATTTTGAGTGGACTACGGTCCCGTGGTTTTTCCTTCTCACATCGAGAAGGTTTTCCACGTAAAATTGGTGGTCTCATTTACTTTAAGTTTTTGAAGTTATTGCTGCCAAGTCCATTGTATTTTCTTCACAAGGTTTACATTAGTTCGGGTGAAACTTTAGTCCGCTGCGTAATCGTGTGTCGTTTCCCCAACAAACTCTTCTCTCCTAATCTCACCAGACGACAAATAGGGTTCGGATTCACCTCTCCACCAAACCATTGGGAGATTGATGAGATCGAAATTTGATAAAGAAAATATTGTAGATTTGTTAATCTCTCTTAGAAAATTTATCAGTTTTATGGATAATTATAACACAAAATCCACAATTTTCCAAAATTACCATTAGTGAGTTTACACAATAACTATTTTACTCTTTTCTAATTATTTAAAATAACAAAATTAATTAAAATATGAAACCATGATTATAATACGATCACGTGAAACGTCAATCAAATGCTTATATTAGTCCTTTTTAATATTAAATTTGTGCTAATTTTTGGAACTTTGAAGATTGTGTGCTAAATTTGGTAACAAAACTTATTTTTGCGCTATTTGTGAAAATTCTCCGTATATTTGTTTTAGATTCAACGCAAACGACATTCCTATAACGAACAAATTCAACCCTATGGAGGATCCTGAAAACAAACCAAAACAATTTAGCGCTAGAATGAGAAGAGTGTCAAAAGCAAACTCATAAGATGCCAAAGGAAAAATGAATGAGTTCAAAGTTGCACCTACAAATTATCATGAAAATTCACACTAAGATGCTATAGGAGCAGAGTGATGTCAGAATTCAAAATAGGATCATCGACTAGCTTATTCAAAATAGGATCTGGTCCCTCTGGCAAGTCAGGCTTCCCAATCAATCAAGAACTGCTAAACCTTTTTCTTAGGTAATAAAATTTCCCATACTAACAAAACAAAAAAGCGTAGAGAGGCTAATATAAAGATGCACGGGAATGAGCCACAAAAATATTATCCACCGATAGGGCCGGATTTAAGTGCAAAAGATGAGAGACATGACTATGGAATAGACTTGTATGTTGGGCTTATACTCAAACCATAAACATCAAGATTCAAGCATTTGAAGAGTTTGTAAACTCAAGTGAAAATCGAAAGCTTATGAAAAGATAGAAAACAACAACAAAGAGTGCAATACCAGCAAGATTTTAACTAGCGACTTGGCATTGGTCAAAAAGCTAAACAGATTTTTGTTTTTTCTATCAACCTCAAAGAGTACTAATGATTTATTGTAAGATCAAAACAATGAACACACGTTAGACCAAACCATACAAACTAAAAAGTGATTGTGTTGTCTATATATGGAACAAGACATTACATACAAGATTGCGAGGAACTAACAAATTCAGTAACATATGCAATAATGCAAACACAGCCAAAGACATATCAAATTGAGGAACAAAAGGTGACCAAGTAGGGCTCTTTATAAATAACCAAAGACAAACAAGCAAAGCAAGCAGTGAATACATTTGGTTGCAAAGCAACAAATCATATGGCTCGAGGAAAAAAGATGTTTCACTCACGTTGGCACATAAACTAGGACTAGCTATGATCTATTTAGTTTACGTTTCAATCTCAGAGATAACCTGGACCAGAAGGATCTATACCAAATATGTATTGGACAAAGATATCCAAACACCTAATCATCAACGACACAACTAAAATGCGAACACCGATTCAAACATGTAAACACTGAGAGTGTTAGATCAGATCAATACTGAAAAATGAGAAATTGAAAGGTAAATAGAAAAAAAAAAAACTCATACCTGGTAGTAGTGGGATGAAGCCAAAAGATGTGGCTTGGTTGAGCAGAGATATAAAGGTAACCGATAGTGCCGGCAGTGAGGTCATAGACTCCAAATACACAGAATTTGGATCCAAAAGGACTCATTGTGGCCAAGGAAAACTCAGAAATCACCAATGTATTCAGTTATATCATTATATTGGTGTCTTCCAACTTGTTTGGTGTTTTAAACTTTTGTGTATTGAAGACATCAAATATATATAAGGTAGATAGAGAGTAGAGGAAATTGATCATGTAATTACTATAAACCGGTTGAGGATTCACCGGAACGTGAGAGAAACTTGTCTATCTCCAAATCTTTGGTAAGAACTGGTCTAGGATCTTCACCGACTGTTGCTTGCTCCGATCGTTAGAGATCGAAAACGGAGAACTCTGACCACCTTAAACGCAGAATCTAATTCTGGACTTCAGAAAGTTTTGAAATTCGGTCGGAAAATTGAAACCCTAAAGTTTTTCTTTTTGTTTTCGTAGAGAGGAAAACCCTATAAACCCCAAGCTCTGTTTCTTGTATCTCTTTCTTGGAAAACAAGTTCTTTTATTGCATCTTTTTCCCCTATCCTCGTATTTTCCATAAAATTCTCTCTTTTTAATTTTTACGTTGTAGGATAAACCTAGGGGTGAATTAGCTACAAATTTATGTTAAATTTTCAATTTCAATTTCTTTTTAGGTGTAAATTTACAAATACCCTTGACCAAAATTAAGAAAGAAAAATCAAAAATAAAAATCGCTGCGAAAAATAAAACTAAAAAGAAACAGTTTAATAATTTTTTTAAGAATGTCTTTAATACACATACAAGAGTTGTCTCGTCAAAAAAACTTTATTTACATTAAATAATAATTAAACGTATACATAATCCATGTGTATATCTATAATTTATGTGGGGGAAGAAACTACAGAAATATAATGAAAATGAAAATGATTAATGTGTTAACGGGAATCCACAAACACCAACGCCCAGGGCTAATGAAGATCATCACACGTACGGGTGGGTATGTGTCACGAATATATAATTTTTATTTCAAGATTAGGAAATTATTTAGAATTTCTATTTTGTTATTCCTTTTCTCATAGGTTTACTTTTACGTTATGTTTTCTCAAAAATTTTAGTTAGTTTTTCAAATTTACTCAAATTTTTTTCAAATTTAACTGATTTTAAAAACATTTCCAATATTTCGGATATCCGCAACCGAACCGAAAGTATCCGAAATTGAACCCGAACTCGAATCGAAATTCTAAAATACCCCAATTAATCCTAAATTTTTATATCCAAAAATATCCAGAACCGAACGGAATACCCGAACGTCCAAGGCTAATGAAGATCATCACACGTATGGTTGGATATATACGAATAATTTCTATTTCAAGATTTAGGAAATTATTTAGGATTTCTATTTTTATTTTTTTACTAAGAATATAAATATTTCATTAGAAATGAAAAATGTTAGGAGTTATAAGAATGTAAAACCTATAGATTGGTCCCATGGCAAAAAAGAAGATTTCTAATTTGTTATTATCTTGTCTCATAGGTTTTACTTTTACGTGTTTTATTATAAGTAAAGATAAGAACTCTTTGGTGAAAATCATCCAAGCTAGTGAAGAGAGAGCCAATTTGGGGTTCCATGTGTGTTCTCGTGTGTAAGGTAAAAAGCGGAGTTTTAATATGAAAAAGGGCTTGAAGAAATTTCTATTATATTGGTGTACGTTTATGTGAATCTATCATTCTATAGAATCTAGTCAATGTTTTCATGGTTTGTAAATCTGAGATGCTGTTCTTCAGAAGAATTAGATTAGATATTTCGATAGTGGATTTATGAGAGTACGTACGAATGATATATAGAATTTTAAGTTATGTTTTTTCTTCTTTCTCGTATCTAATATTTCTTTGATTAATTGGATATGAACCTTCTTCAGGTAGGCCACGTGGGCTATGCAGAATCTATGAATGTGCCATTGTTCAGAAGAAGAATCATCCGAGGATCTTTTTCATGGTGAAAATTAGCAACTGATACGTAAGGGTTTTTATTTGCATGCAGGATCAGAAACTAAGAGAGTGTTTTTATTTATTTATTTGCAGGGCTCTCTTCTTGTGTTTACTAACACTCACTCTCTGCGTCGCGGTCGGAGCCTCGACAACGACTACAACCACCTCGACAACGACTACAGCCATCAATGTAAATAAACTGCACGTTCACAACACAATTTTTTTTTTTTTTTGATAACTAGCACAAATTTTACGGCTACTCGATTGGCTCCAGGGTTCATGAACACAAAATTTATTTATAATTAACTTTTTTTTTGTAAAACCTAACAGAGTCCTGACGGGGATATCATAGATTGCACAGAAATATTAGCTCAGCCGGCCTTCAGGCATCCTCTCCTCAAGGATCACAAGCTCCAGGTCTTTGTTTTATTTTATTTATATGACTCATTTAAACATCAGTTTCAAATATTGTATGTGCTTAGTTCTTATTAATATATTATATATACAATGTTTTCTTTTTTGAAACGAAATATAATTACAGGAAGTACCAAGAAATCTTCCTAACACAGCCAAAAATGAAGATGGAGTTAGCGGCTGGCAGATTTGGAACAGTCGTAACGGGTCGAAATGTCCCGAGGGGACGATTCCGATACGGAGAGTGGTTTCTCAAGACAATGGGGATACCAATGAGGGAACGATTCCGATACGGAGAGTGGGTTCTCAAGAGAACGAGGCTACCAATTCTGGGGCTGAAGATGAACTCACGCGCGGACATGAGGCAAATATATAGTTTTTCAGTTTTTCTATATTATGGTCAAAATTCATCATTGTTTTTTGTGAATATGCTAATGTTTATTTCCTATATTAACTGTAATACTGTATATTCGTTTTGTGTACACAGTATGCTATCGCACATTTGAACAGCACTACAAAGATTTATGGAACAAAAGTCACAATGAGTGTGGGGCACCCCAAAGTTGCTCAACCCGGCGAGTTCAGCCTAGGCCAACTTTGGCTCACCTCGGGTTCAGTTGAAAGAGGTGACATGAACACCATCGAGGCAGGATGGCAGGTTAGATTTTACTTAACTTTTTGGTACATAAGTTTTATTTTAATTATAAAACTTATGTATGACTAATATTATTATTGTTTTTTTTTAATTCTTTTTTATATAGATTTATCCTTCGGTATATTTGGACGACCAGCCTAGACTCTTTATTTTCTGGACGGTAAGTGTGTCATATGTTTCTTTTTCACTTCAATTTTACGACAATATGTTTTCTATAAACTAATAATAGTTTTTTTTTTACTTGCAGAATGATGCATACACGATTGAAAAATGCGAGAATCTTCGACGCCCTGGTTTTATACAAACTAGTGGCAATGTCCTCGTCGAAGGCGCTATCCATCCCCACACCGAAGTTATTACAATCCAGATTTGGAAGGTTAGACGTTTAATTTTATCTTGTTTTATTATGTAACTATTTTTCTAATATATAAATACACATAATGTAGGATCCAAACCTTGGACACTGGTGGTTGTCTGTCGGCCCAAACAGTGGCACTGTACTTATTCCAGTTGGTTATTGGCCAAGGGAGATCTTTACTTGTCTCACTGACCATGCAGAGAGTGTGCAGTGGGGCGGTGAAATAATAGACAAATACGTCTCCGGTCAGCACACGACAACCCAGATGGGATCCGGGTATCTTCCGAGCAGTGCCAAAGCTGCGTATATGCGCGATTTGGAAATTATGGTTAACACCGGCAATTTCCAGCCGGCCTACGATCTCGTTGTAGGAGAGACGAACCCCGACTACTACAACATCAAGAAGACGAGCGACACGAGTTTTTCTTATGGGGGACCTGAATCAGGAGCGGTTCACCTTAGAGTTAATTTAGTTTTTCTTTATTTATGTTTCAGTCTTTTTTTGCACTTATAGTTTTTTTTTTCTCTCTTCATTTTGATATTGTATCTGCTCAAAATGTTTTTGGAAAAACTCGACCATATTTGGTTTGTTTGCTAGTGATTGCTTATATTCTGTCTGCTCAATTCTCCCAAAACCAATAGTGCAAGTCGTGAAAGCTCACACCCGCATAAGTTACATACAATACGATACGAGTAAGGACAAATTTATTAGAGATATTGTAAATCTTTTTAACTATCTCTTTTTATTCAATTGTTAACCCCCACATTACATTTTGTTGAAGAAAAAAAAAAGAAATCAAAGTGCCTTTTTTTTTCCTCCAAATTTTGAGAAATTGTCTTAAAAAAAAAAAAAACACAAAGAGTCAAGTACCTTATCCTTCCAAACGCCTCAAACAGAGACGACATCGTTTGAAGTAGAAGACAAATGACAGTGCAAAAAAATCTCTTATCAACATGAGAAAACCATCAAGCAACAAAAAGAAACACAAAAGCTATCTCCTAGGTTAGAGCAATGGCAGCTGTGAACTGCCACTTCTTCAAGCTATCAAGACATCTCAAACCCTCAAGGCCTTCCTTTTCCTGCTCGGCTTCTCAACCTTCACAAAACAACATTAAGGTAATCACATCATCATCATCATCATCATGAGTTTCCATACAATGCAGCTTTGATATGATAATATTTCGAATTTCCCAATTAGGTAATCATAAATGGAGCTGCAAAGGAAATAGGTAGAGCGGCTGTGATTGCTGTGACTAAGGCCAGGGGAATGGAGTTAGCTGGTGCTGTCGATAACCGTTTTGTTGGCGAAGATATTGGCTTGGTGACTTATCTTAAAACCCATCTGTATACTATTCCAACTGGTTGGTTAATCTATTGACTGACTCCTTAACTCTACTGTTCTTGCATAGCTGTGTGACATGGAGGAGCCTTTAGAGATACCCGTAGTGAGTGATCTAACAATGGTGTTAGGCTCAATATCTCAGGTTCCATTATTTCTTACCCCTCTCTCTCTCTATTCTCAACAGATTTAAGTTCTACGGAATAACACGGATATCTTTAGTAGGGAAAAGAAGTCGGAGTTGTGATCGACTTTACAGACCTATCAACAGTGTATGAGAATGTAAAACAGGTAACAGATTAACTTCTTTTTCTTTCTATCAAGCTCCTTTATATCATCCACTAATATGGAAAAAGATTCAGAAAACTAGCAACAGTGTTAATGATTTCTGAATCTATCAAGGCAACCGCATTTGGGATGAAGAGTGTGGTGTATGTACCTCGGATTAAGCCAGAGACAGTATCTGCGTTGTCTGCACTATGTGACAAGGCCACCATGGTGAGCACATGGTGAGATGAGATACTCGCAGAAAATTCATTATGTTCCCTTTCTTTGTGAGGTCGAGTCTGCCCACGTCAATCAAATTTCGTCTCTGCTTGCACTATAGGGATGCCTTGTAGCACCAACTCTATCCATAGGATCTATACTTCTCCAACAGGCTGTGATCATGGCCTCCTTCCACTACAACAATGTAGAACTAGTGGAGTCAAGGCCTAATGCAGCGGTATGACATAAAAAAAAAACAATCGATATTTCCTAGAATTCTGCGTTTTAACTTTGAAACTTTTGGAATGTTGATCAAGACTAATTAAGGCATATAACTTCAAAGAGGCTACTTATGAAAGAACCATACAGAGGTTTTGCTTATAAAGCTTATGCAGCTTTTGACATTGAATTACAAGAAGTCACTCAAAAGATACCTATCAAATGCAGGATTTTCCTTCTCCAGAAGCTATCCAAATTGCAAACAACATATCAAATCTTGGTCAGATCTACAACAGAGAGGATAGTTCAACTGATGTTAAGGTACAGCACGAATAAGATTGACGAAAAAAATGTCAGAAAGGCTAACAAAGATGGACCAGTTAGATCCTGTACATATTATACATAACATAGCTGTGTTTTCTCATATTTCCAGGCAAGAGGTCAAGTGATTGGAGAAGACGGGGTTCGTGTTCACAGTATGGTTCTACCGGGACTACCATCTAGTACACAAGTCTACTTCTCAAGTCCAGGAGATGTAATTATCAGCACTGCAATCTATTTGAAAATCAAACTGAATATTGGATTCTCAATTTTAAAATTCAGGTTCATCGCTCATAAGGATTCTTAATTTCTTATACACAAACTGCTGTACACAGGTTTACACTCTTAAACATGACATAATTGACGTGAGGTCCCTAATGCCTGGCCTACTCCTAGCTATCAGAAAGGTGGTACGCCTCAAGGTAACAAGCGAGAGTTCTCCATCCATTGATGTCTTACTGTTATCTAATCACTTGCCGTTATTCTCTTTTTGTTATGCAGAATCTGGTTTATGGCCTTGAGAAATTCCTGTAAGAACTGAAGTGTTTCGCCAGTCACCAATCAAGATTCGGGTCAAAGATTACATTATCATGAACAGCTAATGTCATCCTGCAAGTCTTATGAAGGAAAAAAACATTAAACTTAAAGTTTAGAACTAGGATGATATTTTGTTTCATGATACTACGAGATTTCATTTTTAAGGTGAGAAGACTAACAAAGTTGACTGAGAAAAGCATTATCCTAAGGATTTTATATTAACAACTACTACATTACTAATAGCTTCACGGCCTGGACAAAAAGATGTTCAATGTTTTTGGTTATGGTATCAAAATATTTTCAAGTTAGATTATATATTGCCAGTGCCACATAGTTTGCCCGCAAGGACAATGACATCCTGAAGTCTTATCAATAAAATAGCAAAAACGTTTAGTTCTGGTCCAATTAACATTCTATAAAAATGTGCAAAGTCCACCCATATTCAGATGGAACAGTGGCGAAGCATAAATACTGCGATGAGAGTCTGTCAAAGTTGTGACTGCACAGTTTCAACTTAACGGAAACCCACAAAAAGAGAAAAAATGGAAGCAAGAAGTCCTTATTTCATTTTGATCCATGGGAACAATCTAACCTCTGAATTTCTCAGCCATAGCTCCAATCCAGGCTCTATCTTTATCGCTATATGCATACCCAGCAGTAGAAGCCACCAGCAAAAACCCATTCACTTTCTGCGGTTCACTTATATTTTGTACAAGAGGTTGCATAAAAAGAGAACGCGTCCCATCGGGAAGAATATCCCAAGATAGTGCAGAACCTAAAATCAAACTGAAAGTTAACATATATTTCAACACAATAGAAACAAAAGAGTAAAATTCCATGCATTCAGGTATAAAAAAGATCGACAAAGCTGAACAAATTCAAGACCGTGCAACTGAGGAAACACACTACCTGCATATTGAGGGAAATAAAGGGTATCCTTCACATCAGCCAAGCCAATCTCATCCACTTTTTTCTTAAACCAATCATGTAGTTGAGCCTTTGACATCTGATCTGGACAATTCCAGTACCCGCGAACACAAAGCTCGCCTTGAACCAATATCAACTAAACAAAAAAAAAACAATCTTTTTCAGTAAAACAGAGAATTAAGAACACAACTAAGCACCAGAGCAGATCAAAGATCAAACCCATATCCAAGACAGAAACAGCATACCACAGCTATAGTACTTGTATTCCTCAACAAAACATACGTTGCCCATGCTAAATCCTCCTTCAAAGAATCTCCAATATTTGATGATATCACAAAAATCTGCTCTCCTTCTTCAGGTAGAGTTCTCTGCTCCACTACAGAGCCCTAAACACACAACCCATCAACACCAACACAAGTGACCATCAAAGTTTTTCTTCACTCAATTTAAAAATTATGTATTTACCTTAAGGAATTTACCAATGTAAGGTAAAGCTATTGAAAACGAAGCAAGTGATAATCCCAAAGCCTCTGATCTCTATCACCACAAAATTCACACATAAAAAAAAATGCTAAAATTTCAAAGCTGTGAAGCAATATTGCTACTAATTACCATTTGAGATTCACTGATTGGAGCAGAAGCTGAGAAGTGGTTAAGAAGAAGAAGTGATCCAAACCCGTACCCGATCCATCTCGGTAGATAAGATTCGTCTAGCCCAGGAATTCCTACAAATGCAGACACAAATCAATTTCAAATCTTTCTCATAAAAACTTGAAAAAAATCTGAACTTTGAAGTGGGGAAGGAAGAGATTACCGAAAGTGAAGCGAAGAACAGAGAGATTGAGTTGTTGTTGTTGTTGTGGAGAATCGTTCTCTGTACGAGCGAAGATTCGTGTTGACCTTTGGGCGCGAGGTTGTAGCGCGAATTTTGGATGGAACGGGAAATTACAAATTCGAAGACTCATTTCTTGTCTTCGAGTCTCGTAGCTTCTGTATCCGCCATTGATGACTTCTCGAAGAACTTCTCTGCTCAATAGGATAGGCCCAGTAGGATAGGCCCATTAAAGACAGGTAGGCCCAGTTGTCAATTTGAGTTAATTTTCTAACCAAAAACATTATTTTGTAATTTTTTTTCTCAAAATTTCTAGTGTATGATTTCGCAATTAATTTGTATTTGTTATTTAACATAGACATTTACCATGGATCCAAAATCAATTTTAAAAAAATTCTTAAGATAAAAACTAAGAAGTCTATTTTTAGAAGATAACAAATTTCTAGTTTTTATGTGGTTTTTGGTTTTTATTTATGGAAATCTGTTTTTTCACAATTCAAGATTTAAAAAAAAAATTAGATTCTCTAAAATTTAGGAAAACTAGTTTTTGAGTTGTTTCTCAAGTTTCAAAGAGAAACTAAAAACCTTGATTTTGAGGTTTTTGTGGAAAACTTTATTTTTTAACGTGATTATGTTTTATTTTTGGTTTTTTGATTTTTTAATTAATTTTTATATTTATAGCAAAAATCCAAAAACCAATATCTAAAAACCAAAAGCCACTTAAAAACTAGTAAACATTCAGGGCCTATAAGAGACTTTTAACTCTTTTTTGGTTTTGCCAAAGATCCTTGCATGTGAGATGGACCTGATTAGCTCTAATCCGTTTCAAAAATTTGTATATACGTAAATTTTTGGATCTAGATCATGATAGTAAATTTTAAAAGTTAAAAGTATTGATAAATGAAAAACAAAAAGAGATTATGAAAGAAAGAGAGTTATAAACTTCTAACTCCTCAAGTCTGAAAAACTTTTACATCTTTTTCACATTCCTCTACTTTTACATATTACGACATCGCTAAATCATATATAGTACCATACCTTACTTAACATTCTCACCTAGAAGGCTAGAACTACATCTGCATAAAAATTAATCCAAAATTTTCACAGTTTTAATTATATTAATACAGACTTTATGTATTGACAAAAAAAAATCCTAAAAACTAACATATCAACAGAACCTCTAAAAAACATTTAATCGGAATATTAGTATTTCCCTATATACTCAAATGGACATATGATCACACAATCTAAACATAACCCACCTTTGGTATGTGTACAATCTATCTGGAGCATAGAGAATTTGACCCAAACGGGTGAGTTCTGATTCTCTACGACGAAGTCACCCGCGTGATGATAAACCCACCTCCCCGGTTCGTCCAGATGCCGTTCCGACATAGCGCATTGGCCATCCGATGTAGACAATTGAAACCGGACCGGTTTCATATCCCAACCATGAACTTGGTCCAAACTATATGTTTTCCTCCCACACTTTCTAATAGGTTTTCCTAATTGTATCTTGAAATATAAACTGTATTTTCCGGGTGAAAATTCGAATATGATTTTCCCAACTGCTTCTAACCACCAAATTTGCCGGAGATAAGCCATAGATCCAAATCTGAAGGAACAAAAAGTTTAATAAAACAAGAATCATTGATCATAAGAAATTAACGATGAAAATAATCATAACGCGAGTGGGACAATGTGGATAAGCTGGATAAGCTCTACTACAACTTTAGTTATTACTTATTAGTGTCTTGATTGGTAGATAAATTTCAAAATAACAATGAGGCCTACTAATGATAGACTTATCACAACTCATATCTACCAATCAAAGAGTACTACATATCAAATCTATAAATATATATATATATATATATATATATATATATATTAAAGTGATATAGTGGGGTTAATGATTATGTATAAATATAGTTATATTCTACTTGTTCCAATTTTCGGGAAAATATTCGAATTATGTGGATAGAATCCGGATAGAGTTTCTAATTCCATAAGATATTTGTTGAACAAAGATCTGTGAAATAAATAAAATAATAGAAAGAGAAGAAGCGATTGTTGAAAGAAAGCCATCCAATTATTGGGTATGATCGAGCAAATTTGGGATAAGAGAAAATGACATATTCGTCGACGACCCAAAACTTCCCCTATTCACCTATTCACTAAACAAACCAGCTTTTTGAGCTTATCTAAAAATTCTATATGCATCACCTGTAAATTTACGTATTCATATATATAATATAATGTATACGTCCGTCATTATACATTTCGTTTACGTGTTGTTTAATATCTTCTATCTAAGATTCTTAGAGAAAACCAAAATCTAACATCACCTGAACATTATTTAATTTTCAATTTTTTATTCCCTCAATTATTTCATTTAAAAATTATAATCATAAAAGTTTGTGATAATTGAGCAATACATGAGTTATGATACTATATTTCTCGTTTCTAAGAGACATGAGAAACATTAAAAATTCCGTTTGAGAAGTAGTTTTTGTTTACTATAGTATGTTTTGAAATTCTTACCGAATTGTTGCATGAAAAAGCTGTTGTCAGTTTACCTTCTTAGGTTACTTTCTTTGGTTACTACTATATATACATTTTGATGTGAATTATATCTATTATTTTAAACTCGATTGAATTAATATGCAAGTACAGAAATAGACATTTATGTTTTCAGGTTTCGTCGTAGAAGAGTGTGTGAATACGAAATGTGCAATCATCAACTTTGACCAAGGTCATGGCATGTTTATATGATTTATAGCCAATAATAACATTGTTATTTCTTGTTTATATTATCCAATGATTACCATTGAAAGGGAAACAAAGAAATGTTGACAAAGTCCTTTTTCACTAGAAATAATGATAGGTTTAAAGCACAATTAATAAATACTCAAATCAGCAGAGAGTTTTTAAGTTAAAAGTATACCAAATCAAAGTAGATCATGGGTATTCGATTTTTTGGAGCAAAATGTATCCCAAGATTAGATATCCGATAAAAAAAACATAGCCATACCATGTCAAAATTACTGATTTTTTCTTGTAGAATATCTAATTCGAGTCCGGCCTAAATGTTTTGACTATGATGAAATTTTTAAAAAAAAATCAAAATAAAAATAAAAAGAAAGAGAGAGAGATGTAAAAGGACCTGGATTCGTCAGAAGAAATATGTTCCCAATATCGGCGATCATCAATGCCGGTTATCTTCATTGCCTTTGGTGATATCGCCAAATACACTTTCCCACTTCTCTTGTCCAGCCATGCTTCCTTTTCAATATTACAATCCAAACATTTACTTTTATATTAATATTAATTTACGAATAAATCGCAACCTTTGTTCAAAAACAGAAAAACAAAAATTCGCAACCATGCCAACTTTTACAATTATTTTATATTTTTAAAAAGATATGAATAATCATTTTTTGTTTCTTCTTTCGTACACACATGACAATCCCCATTCGCCCGAATTTTAAATGTAGCCTTTTGATATGATTTGCAAGTCAAATCCAAACATAGCGGAACCACTTATCTATAATATGAACCAGAATTTTTTCATATTTTCCAATTTTATTTCCTCTGCATAAAAATAATTGGTAACGAAACCGAGTTAGACCACAAAGAAAGCAAACTGAGTCACAAAAATATCTTCCAAACTATTTTATGATCCATTCATTTTCCAGTTATTCTTATTTCAATTGTCCATACAAATTCTATTTATTGTAAGAAAAAGAAAAATCCTACAACTAAAAAAAGATACAAAAGTTTAGGTTATAAAGAATATTTGTTGTCTAAGTCTTGATATACTTATTTGTAGATACTTTAAACCCAAAATGTAACAAAAGGGTGCTTAATTCAAAAGAAAAGAAAAAAGAAAACGGAAAAGTGTGGAAAATAGTAATAGCTTTATGTGTTAATTTAATAAATTTTAGGAACGATGGGAATAACTACTATTATACTTTAGGCAAGAATTTCTAACCCTATCAATGGATTCGTAGAACATATTCTACTGTCTTTTTTTTTCCCCCCCCCCATCAGAACATATTCTACTGTCTCTAGAAGCTTTTCTAACACTTTTTATTGGTCATAAAATGAAATAGTATGGTAAATTAGACATATTGACAAAAATCCTCCAAATAATATATTTTTAATAACCACTCCGAAGGAAAATATTTTTACACCCCAAGAAAAATCTAAGTGGGACGTAATTGACCATCAAATATATCAAAAGATTGTAAACACACACAAAAAAAAAAAAAAACATAAAATAATATTATTTAATTTGTCAAAAAAAAAAGAAGACAGAAGTATAGAACCTTTGTGCCGGCGTCGAAGAGGTTTGGTCGGCAAAGCCTTGCATAGATCTCTTTCTTGCGGATGATAAGGTTTTCTTTTTCTCCTACTTGTTGTTGATCTTCAAGAATTCTTCGGACCAGAAACTTGTAGTTACAAGGAAGCTTGTGTTCCCACACCGCATCGGATCTCGACGCCCTATGAAATGACTTATTTACCCTAGCAAGTAGGCAGATCTCCGGTGGCTCCATGTACATGAACATTGCCGTTATACAGTTCTCAGGCACATCTTCGAGACCGCATAACTTTCCGGCAAAAGGTTCTGATCCAGCGATGCTCGATGAAGCCGCCCCCATAGATGAAAGATCGGATGATATCGAGTATATGATAATCTCTTTGATCTTTCCTTTTCTTTGATCTGTATGTATTCAAGATTTGGGTTTGATGTGGTGGAGAAGTAGAAAATATATGGATGAAAGAGATGGGTTTGACATATTTACGATTCTTTTGTTCTTTCTCTAATGGGAGAAGTTAATGGCTTTCTTGGTTTTAAAGGAGAGAGAGAGAGAGGGTATTATGTACGTGGGATGGGGAAATGAAAATATTTGTGAACAGAAACTATTTAATTGTTTCTTTAGTAAGAATATTTTTGACTTGGTGCAACTTATTATAGATGTCGCTAATCTATCAAAAAGTTCCAATGTCTTTTTTACTAGATTATTCGATGTGAAGTCGATGATTTATTGCGACTTTTCGTCTATATTTGTTGGACTACTGATTTTGCAGTGCTGGCAATGATTTTATTTAATATCAACTAAAATAACAAAGTTCGCTCAAAATACTAAAATGAGAAATATAGTTGAAAAAGCGGAAGATTAATAAAACTATGGATTATTGCCGGGAAAAAAAAACCATGGGATTAAAAACTTTTAATTTTGTAAGAATTAACTAGTTTTAACCCGCGGTACACCGCGGGATGATTTAATTTTAAAGTTAGTATAAAAATATTTTGTAAATTATATCTCCTTATAACATATTTATTTATATTATAGTTTACAATTGTTATTAAGTAACGGTATACCACGAGTCCACGAGATAATTATTAATAAACTGAGGATTTAACCCGTATTAAAGCGGTATATAAATATTGATTCAAATTCGTCCGCCATATAAATCATTTCCGAAATATAACCCGTTCCGTAATTTACCCGTCCTGTGATTTGTATTAAAAAAAAGGATTAAATCCGTATTGAAGCGGCGGATTAATGATATTTTAATCTTTTTATTATTGTTGATTCAAAAACCCGTTCCGCCAAACCCATCCCGCCAAAAAACTCATTTATTTTATTAATGTTCTTATTTATGATATGATTTTGAATCATTGTCTAAATATTTTAATCGATGTAGAACGTTTTTTTTTTTGTAGGATTAATCGATGTAGAACGTTGAACACACATTTTCGTCAATTGGATAATATATGTCCGTTTTTAAAATTTCGAATCACAGTATATGCAGAAAAAAAATTGATTCTTTTTTACTTTATATATTATATGATGATTCAAAACAGTTAAAAACAAATCAAACAAAGATGATAGGAGAATCATAATTATAAATCTTAATCAAATCTTCTAAAAATTTAAATTATTAAATATGGAATATCCGGTGTATGAGTTGGGTTAAATATAACCCGACCCAACAAATTTTTTGTGAAAGAATTTTTAAAATGGGTCGGATATCCGATATACCCGAAAACTTTTTTACCCACCCGTCACAAAAAATGCTGCGATTATACTAGTATAGATTTCCTGTTTTGTATTTGATTGTCCTAAGAATAAATGTAGAGCTATATTGGGTTCTTACGATGTAAAAAATTATTACTAAAGGGACCCGTTACTAAGCATTATTATAAGAAAAAGAGAGACATGTTGCAAGGATTTTACTTGGAATATATTCAAAGTGTATGGTTTCATGTGACAAACTAGTCCCCATGGAAGATGCTAATCATATCACAATCCTAGTTACCGGTAGAGGAAATTAAATATAAGAAAAGGTTAACTATTTATTAAGCTATACACATGGTTTGCATTATATTAAAAAGAGTATTCATGTTGTACACATATTAAAAAGGAAACATTCATATAATTTTAGTATCACGAGCCAGCGATTTGATCTTCGTCCCAAAAACATTTGGGCCTCATAATACTACATAAATAAGTTTTCTGCATTACAAACTGAAACATATTTATAATTCTCATTAACATAAAATACCTTTCTATCGAGATCTAGTGGGTGCAAAAGATCTATAAATAAATAGTTGATGGCGTTTGTGGCCAACGCATTCTAACCAATAGGATGGCGAGAATTTGAATTTTGATTTTATCATTTGTAAATGTTTAATAAATTAGATTAAAAGTTTTTTTTATTTGAAATTAAAATGGCTGAAAATACATTCACGTAGATAGCATGAAGTCCATCATCAAGTGGGTTGTGTCATTTCTTTGTGGGTGGTTAAATTTCTTATTCACGGATGTTAAATGTAACCACTCACAAAAAATGTATATGGTGGACCATTAATTTAATTTCAATAGCCAATGTAACTCGTTTTCAAAAAAAAAAAAAAAAAAAAAAAAAAAAAAAAAGCCAATGTAACTATACCAGTAGAAAAACCATTAAAAAAAATCTACGATTACCGTCCTTAACAATTTTTTTATGTCAATAGAGCAATGTAGATAAATTTAGATTTAAACTTACTACTATGGTTGGAGTAGAGACACCTTGCATATCAAAGTAGTTAAACATTGGGTACATTCGTTATTTAATTGATTAACGTGAATCACGTCTAAGCTATATTAATAATAAAATAGGAAAACTGTCAAATCTTATAGGGAAATTGTTAAAAATGTCCATTTTGGTGTGTCCCTTTTCAAAAATGCCCCTTTTAGATGTCCATTTTCAAAAATGTCTCTTTTTAAATCTGAAATTTTTATAAAGTTCTATTAGGTTTATAAGGTACTTATCGATTGTAACTACTACTTGAAGACTCGATCCAAGTATTTATAAGGTTTTATAAGGTGTTTTTAAAGGTTTTACAAGTTATTTTAAAGGATTTTTAAGATTTTTCAAAGGTTTTACAAGGTATTTTAAAGGTTTTTAAAGGTATTTAAAATGCACTTATAAGGTATTTATAAAGTATTTATAAGATTTTGGATACATAGTAATGTAGTTTGTGTATGTTTTAATAATGTTACATACATATTTGGGTAAATCTTATATTTTTAAGAGCATTTTTTATAAGGTTAAAGAAGGGGCATTTTTGAAAAGTGGCATTGAAAAAGGGGCATTTTTGCAAAAGAAATTGTTAAAAATGCTCTTTTTGGTGTGTCCCTTTTCAAAAATGCCCCTTTTAGATGTCCATTTTCAAAAATGCTCATTTTTAAATCTGAAATTTTTATAAAGTTTTATTAGGTTTATAAGATACTTATGGATTGTAACTACTACTTGAAGACTGGATCCAAGTATTTATAAGGTTTTATAAGGTGTTTTAAAAGGTTTTACAAGTTATTTTAAAGGATTTTTAAGGTTTTTCAAAGGTTTTACAAGATATTTTAAAGGTTTTTAAAGGTATTTAAAATGCATTTATAAGGTATTTATAAAGTATTTATAAGATTTTAGATACATTGTAATGTAGTTTGTGTATGTTTTAATAATGTTACATACATATTTGGGTAAATCTTATATTTTTAAGAGCATTTTTTATAAAGTTTTAAAGAAAAGACATTTTTGAAAAGTAGCATTAAAAAAGGGACATTTTTGCAAAAACCTCTATTTAAGCTGGCTTTCAGGCCAGTGACCTACATATACCATAGAAAAAGCATAACACCAAAGAAACGAGGCTTTTATAATAATTGAGAGTTTGAGACTGTGACTTGCGGAAGAATATTGTTTGAGGAATTTAGAAATTTTAATTTCTTGATATCATAATTTTTTGTGGTGAAAATAGAATTCATATGTTTTACTAAAGAGTTTCGCACAAAAATTAATCGGCCTAACTAATAAGATTGATGCTGCAATTTCTTCTCAAATAAACAAATTTAAATAGAACCCAAGGAAAAGTTTGCAAAGGCTAAAAATGGTTGCATATTTGAAAAACAAATGTGAAAGCTGGGAAATATATTTATATAGGAAATCTAATGTGTTTTTTCTTTTTTTTGTTCACATGCATTAGCATTAGGGCTATATTAATATAAAACCACAATTGACCCAAAAACTAGATTTAAATCTGCCGTAATTTGAAAATTTGGTAAGTAGGAAAGAGAAAGATTATGTAAACCAAAACTATCCTTTCTTTTTGGATTAATTACAAAAATGCCACTGACTAAAAAAAGAAAATATGCGGCGACAATGTTTATTTTGACACAATAATATACGGATGACACATGCTAAATAATGTAGTATCACGATAAGTTACAAATTATATGTTAATATAGAATGATAACATGCTAACATATTAAATATCTGAATAATATTTGTATGAACATGGTAAAATGTGATTGGTATCAACTAACTTATATATTAACCTGTTTATTTACTCTAATAATTCAATTATTACCGATAACTTTTATATTAGCATACTTATTTATAATGATAATTTAGTTATCACGTTTAACTTCTAAGTTATCATTTTTGTATGTGTTGCTAATTATATTGTTACCCATATAACGAAATCGAACCCAGAAAAATAGACCATGGTCTTGCTGTCAATGATACCAATTTCCCTCTTTTGCTTAATAAACCTCATAAAAATCCAGTTAACAAATTATTTAGGACATGTAACTCATATCATCTTCTTCCTCACTCCCTACGACACTATTTTACTCCGATCTCTCACTCTCATAAACCCTAACATCACCATCATCATTTGTAACCGCTGAATCGAGCTCCATATGTGAAGAAGTTGCAGCGTCATCATCATCATCGTCAATGGCTTCATGACCATCCCCGCTTGAATCAACAACAATATCTCACGGACTTACCTTAAGATCCTGAATCGAATCCGTTTGTTGAGCAATCTCAGCATCCTAGTTCATCGCTGGAATCAATTTAGTTTTGCAAATTACAAATTAATAAGAACTCTAACGACAACTCTTTGTTACAAACAATCTTCCGTTGAGAAATTATCCGAATTTGGTTCTCGAGGACAGAAAATGAAAGAGATGGATTATTAAAGAAAAAGTTAAACAGCAAGAGAAAGATGATAAGTTAAAACTTTTGTTTTTTTTTTTTTTCTTCTAGTCATGAATTGCATTTGCTAAATGATTAGGGGTAAAAGAGTCCACATTACGGCTACAGTAACGACCGAACAGTGACAATACAGTAACGACCGAACAGTGACAATATGTGTCAGTTAATTTTTTGGTCTTCTGAGTACATATCTTGCAAATACCCTTAGCATTATGGTGTAAGCTCCGTTGTGCAAACGCAGCAAATCTGCATAAACAAAACAATAACATCAAAAAAAAAAAATATTAAACTATATTTCTAATTAATTATTGTAGGTACCTTTCAGTACATTATATAACTGACGTAAATTAAATTTGAATTGTGTTCATACCTTGTTTTGCTCTAACCAAAGTGAAATGCATTCCTCATGGTAGATATGAGCACATGGCAAAGTCGACAGCGTATCTCCCTCCTTGAAATCAATTATACATATCGGACACCTTCAATATTCCACAAACCGATTAAAAAAACTTCCAATTTAGGCCGGAACTTATATATATATATATATATATATATATATATATATATATATATATATAAAACATATTAACAGTAAACAAAAATAGAAACAAAATGTTGTAGAGTGATCACAATATTGATTAGGAAGCTATTCATACATTAAACTAAAAATATTTACTATGATCTTACTGAGTTTTTTCGGATACGTGATTGTTCGTTCTAGACGACGAGGCAGTGCGAAATTTATGGGTTGGTATTTGGCAAATTCTCGTCTTCGACAATCCTTTGTTGACCGCCCCAATCGATTCTCCTAATTGATTCAGTTCCTAAATCATCCAAACAAGAGTTAAGCCATCATCCAACAAAAGTTCTTTTACTAGATCGTCATGCCTTTAATTTTCATATTACAATATATATTGATAAATATCGTTATTAGTTATGTCGCAATATATATATATATACCTCATAACTCATATTATCAACATCAGGAGGAGGAGAAAGAAAACTGTCAGATGAATCATCTGAGAAACTGCCATGAACATGACTTTGTTGATGGGACGACGAACGGTTCACTAGAGATTACAAGTGAAACGTACGTATAAAATAAGTTTCATTTATATAAAAATATAATTTATTTTTAAAGTTTGAAATTCTACGTTTAATACCATATAGGTCTTGGAATTGATGGGTAACATCGTCCGTTAACGCATCATGATTCGCCAAATCTTGGGATTTGATCAATTTTGACATGCAATATTTTACATTAACCAAAACGCATATATAATTTATATAACCACATTTCCGACTGAGATATGAAAGTGGTATACATACGTCAAAAAAAAAAAACAGAGATGCGAAAATAATAGATACACTTACATTCTTGTTCTTGTAATGATTTGGCAAAATTCTCGTCATCGCTTAAGGAGATTAGAGAATAATCTACATTTAGCAAAAAAAAATAATGAAATATAGAGTCCTTTTCTAAAGGTGTACAATATAATATTGGTAAATAAATTACATAGTATATGGCATAGATAGTACCCAAATATTTATTATAGTCACATCATTCTAAATATACAGTTATTGCACTTTGATGTGACTCAGATTAATACTAACACTTATTCTTTTAGGTAAGACTAGAGTATGAAGAATTTTTATTGCTTAAGTCCATTCATACTGTCGTTTTGATTTATTCATACCTTGCATATTTTGCCATTCTCTTGCGACCACTTCATCAGCAATTATAGAACGGTTCATTACAGATTATAATTAATATTTTAACCAAAAAAATGATTTTAACTAATCACCAAACAATTTGGATGATATAGATAACAAGTTCAATGTTACTTAATAAGCAATGATTCTAAATGATTCATCAAAACGAAAACGGACTTGACCGAACCGCGTCGGATAATGGTCCACATTATGATCGACAAACCTTATAAACAATTTACCTTCTTGTGGTCGTTGAAACTGCCGACTAGTAACTGTATCGTTACTCAATTCTGGAAGATCATCATACAGCAAAGATGCCGCAAAGGCTTCATCCATTTCCATCTGATTCGATTGCATCCTCACACGCATGTTATAACGAGGAAAAAAGACGACCTGAGAGATTGTATTCGAAGATTGATATGTTTTGTCACAAGGATTCAGATAGTTATCTTTCTCATCACTCAACCATTTTATAATAATCTTACTTTTGTTGGTTAATGTTCCTGAAGCCTTTATTATAGAGTTATTTTGGTAATTATTGACATTGATTGATTCAAATAAAGAGGTTATTAGCACGCCATATATATTTGCTTCATGTTTGTGTGAAGATATCATTTGATGCATGTATAATCTCCATTAATTACTACTGATATTTCCGGTTTTCATATGTGTATAAATTTTGTAAATTAATTCTCTACTATTTTAATTGGAGTTTGCTTTCGGTTTTTTGAAACAAATCAAAAATCACACCTTTTTAATGAATAATGACTCAATAATTAATAACATATAACCAATTTTTTACTAGTTGTGACAGCACTATTAATTATATCATTCCATACCAACAATGCACAATGCCAAAAAGTTTTGACATCAATAAAACACATTTGAAATATACTCCATAAACTTATGCATAGGGACGAGTTTTCATCTAGTTAATGGTGATACTTTAAAAATATAGGATGAATGATTGAACGATAACTTTAAAAAAAATTCTAAACCGAGCATTATAGATTGTTGGTCCGACGAAATTTAGTATTATGGATAAACCTCGGCTTTGCAAACGCAGCATACCTGAAAATATAAAGATATACATATTAGACTGATTAGAATATTTATATGAGAATATCTTTTGTACATTACACAATACATGGTAGATATATACACTTGTTTTTAAATAAACATTTAGACTGAATTTATGTTCATACCTTGTTTTGTTTCAGCCATTGTGAAATGCAATCTTTATGGTAAATATGTTTACATGGCAAAGTTGTGATCTTATCTCCCTCCGCATAGTCCACTAAGCATATCGAACACCTACAATATTATCCAAACCAAAATTAGATTCATGGTCTAAACTTAATTAATTTGGCTTATAGTAACAAGCAAAAATCCAAATGAGGAACAAAAACTTTTTAACCAAAATGAAAGATACAGTAAAATTATCTTACTGAGAATCATCGGCAACAAACTTCTTTTTCTTAAGCCAACAGGACCAAGTTTTGGTTTTAGTACCATACTTATGAGTCGATAATCGAGAGATTCTCTCTTGCGATAATCCTTTACTGACATCTCCAATCGAGTCTTCTAATTCAGATAATTCCTGCTAACCCAAATCAAAAGAAAACAACATTGATATATAAGATTTATTTTCTGGATCATAAACCACGTATATAAATATATGAATGAAAATGTTGAGTTGGCACGGTAAATACCTCATACGTCATACTTGCGGGATCAATGTTCTCATTATCTGGAGGATTGTGGGAGATATTAGAAGGACTACGAATATGGGTATGATGGCCCGAGAAGTTCTCACCATCGTCATAGTCAAAAAAGGCTCTACTAGTCTAAATTATAATCCAAAGAAAGTTATTTCAATAAATAATCAATTTACTAGAGTGATATGTAACAATCCGCATGGTTAAGAAAAATATAGAAATTATTTTCGGTTAATCATAAAACCTTAAATTTAATGAAAATAAAGATATACTCGTTGTTTATCTATGTATAAAGTCCCTAGCTATACCGGGTTAAAAAAACTATGTAAGTTTTTTTGAGTAATTAATTTTCAGAAGTTGACAACTAAAAAAATCATTATTACCGATGGAGCATCACGTTGAGGTATGTATGAACGATTCACTGCAGATTGAAGGAAATATAAAAGTGTTACCGTAAAAAGTATCGAACAAAGTCATGAGAAAATATTTCTGACGAAATACAATTCACTCTTGCATTTTTTTTTTCTTTTTGAACAAGTAGAAAATACTAAGCAATTAACTTTATGTAATTCAATTTATGAACTCGATGTTTAAATTGATATATACCTTGCATGGGTTGGTAATGATGGTGATGGGTTTCTTGAATATCATCGTCCGTATTATTTGCCGCTAGGTATGATAGATAATACAGTAAAGCATTATTATACGACATTTTCAATTGGTAAATGACAAAATTATTGTCAAGTCAGTGAAAATTATGAAATTAAAGCATTAGGTGAAAAAATGATATACTTACATTCATCTTGTTCTTGCAAATATCTAGCAAGTTTTTCATCATCGCTTAGAGAGGGCTGCAGATTACCTGGAAAACATATAAAATTCGAAATACCATTAAACGATTTATAGGTCCCTAATTAAAGGCTTTGGAATATGTATGTTATTTTAGTTTTACAAAAACATAAATTATGGTTAATTAGTTTAAGCGTTTATGATTCTTTTTTTTTTTTTTTTTTTTTTTTGTGTTTATGATTCTTCTTTTTTTCGCCCTAACTAAGTTAATCAAAGGCATATCATGGTTTTCATCATCAGGGAAACATTAAAGTTGAAACTTCCACACCTAACTATAGTACTAAAATAAAAAATAATACTCAAAATTATTACGTTATAAAGATGATATACTCTCTGATGTGTATAGGGATTTTAGAACAAAGTATATAAAAGCATAAAAAGATATATTACCCTCCAAGTCTTGCAACGTTCTTGCCAATCCTTCATCATCATGTAGGCAAGAGTGCACACAAGCAACTGTAAAATTTTAATACAACAACAAGGTCATTCTCGTTATATGACAAAAATCACATAGAAAATTAAATATTAAATCATTTTATATGCGATTTCAGAAAAAAAAAATCATTATATAAGAGATGGTAAAAGTACGATCATTGCTTTGTTGATAGTGGGAATTTCAAACTCTATCAAACAAAATCATAAAAGTAGTTTGCTATTGAAAACTAAAAATATATATATATATATATATAAACGATTTATTTACCTTCTTCTTGCTGCATCTCTAAAGCAATAGCAGCATCATTACATATAAATTTATTTTGATATTGTTGTTGAATCTCCCGACCAATAACATAATCATTAACCGTCAGTTCTGATAACTCATATTGTAAATAGATTGCAATATTTTCATCGAGAGACGACTGGTTTACAAGCCGAGACATAGATATTTTGTCGAATTTCTTAGCGAAAGAGGTACCGGAGATGCTTTTGATGATCTGTTTTCTCTTAATCAACACAAGAGATTCATACCATAATCTTTCTCATCTCTCGATCCTCAAAAATAAGAACTTGAATAAAGCTTTCTCTTGCGAGATATGATGGTAATTAGTGACGGCAACAAAAGAGTATATCAATTTAAAAGCTGCTTTGTTCCGCCTGTTGAATATGAGTGATATTTGAATTTTGTTTTTGGCTCCACAGATTTACTCTTTTTCAAAGTTTATATAGTAAAATGCTAAGGCTCCTTTTCACAACCTTGACTTTTATTTTTTGCTAGAAATACACCATACATACGAAATTGGGTTTCTTTTTTCCATAATGGGATGTATGTTTCTTTTTAAGTTATTGACATATGCTTTTGAAAATGATTACTAAATCTATTTATAAAATAGTAAAAAATCTTTTATTGATTATGTTTTAAAGCCTGTCTTTTGCAATTCTTTAATTTTAAATTATTTATTTAAATGATTTAATTAGTGATAGATTGTAACCAAAACAGTTTGGTGATAGATTATATATACTCTTCTAATATTTGTATAAAATTTAGGATAAAATATTGTAAAATAAAAGGGACACAACATTGCCACATAGATATTTTTTATGTTAAATAATTTTTCAAATTTATATTATTTTAATTTTCCATAGAATTAGAGGCTTGAATGGTTTAAACGCAACGTTGTTATTAATTAATAAATTTGAGACTCTAAGTCGATTGTTCCGATTTAATTGTGCATCTTCGATTTCTTCAAAATCGATACTCTCACGTTACTGAAATCAGATCCAAGTACGGTACGATCGTTAAATCCTGGAGGTTTTCCTTTTCTCGTCCTCGAGATTTATCTTATCCAATCGCTCGAGATCGAGAATGTTCTTATTGTAGAATGTGCAATTGAACAGAACCAAAGAGTAATTTGAGTACATGGATTTTACTTAAAACTGGTATATATGTTCTTCACATGCTTTACATACATTTGAACTTGATCCTAATATACCCTTACTAACAAGTTGAGGTAAGAATGTTGTAGAGATTGAATTGATCACTTGGGTTCATCATGTTTTTAAGTTTGTTAGTGAGTCAGCTGTTAGAAGATCTTCTAGATCGAAACACAAGAACCCATCTTCCTCTGCTATTAATACTATGTCATCCTTCACTGGTTCAGTCTTATGATGCCAGAGAGAGTGTTTCTAAACTCTACTTCATCATATCTTTGTCTATCAATGGCTTTTCAGGCTCAAAGAAAGATAGTATGCAGGTGGTGCTATTTACCTCTGGTTTGACATCCAGTGTGCATGACTGGTTTGATAAACCAATAGTTTCGTCATGGAAATCAAGATTTGGGGAAGAGGAAATCAAATTTAAGGTTTGAGTTCTTCCTATTTTGGGGATTTTGTGCTCTCAAGATCCACCAACACCAAGGTCCAAGTACATCAAACCAAAATTGATATACACAGAGACAGAATGTCCAAGGCAACTAAACCCAGTTCTATCATTACCGTCCTCTTCGTCTTCTTCTTAGTTATCTCTGGTAAGTAAACTTACTTTGCGTTGTTTGACATTATTTGTTAATAACTTTATATGTATACGTTTGCAGTCAAGTTTACAAGTTTTGTTTTCGTGATTAAGAAAGTACTTTTATTTTATCGCATGCAGAAGATTCATGATATGTGCTTATTTTTGTTTGTGTTTATAACAGAAATGCCAGAGATAAAAGCGCAAGATAGTGATTGCTTGAAAGAATATGGAGGTGATGTTGGTTTCCCCTTTTGTGCAATTTTGATATTTCCGTCAGTATGTTATATAAAGTGTCGCCAAGACAAGGGGGCTAAAGGCGGAAGATGCCAACACGGAGAGGAAGACGGTCATATTAAGTTCACGTGCTTTTGCGACTATTGTAACTCGTCGCCCTACCTAATCAAACTCTAAGCGTTTGCTAAAACACTATGGCCGCAAATGTAGACGCAAGCACCGTACGTTTGGATCTTTGTTATGTTCTTGCACACGTTTTACTCATGGTTTTATGTAATAAATAATGTGCATCTTCTTTGAAAAAAAATAAATAAATAAATAATGTGCATCTTTTGTTATGTTTTTGCATAAGTACTTTTACTCTTGGTTTTATGTGATGAATAATGTGAATTGTCCAAGTAATAATGTTGTAATAATGAATAAGTGAAATAAAAAAAATAATGAAAAGTATCAAGTGTGTAGTGGTTTAAATGGGCTTTCAAGGTCACTAGTTTTATAAATTAAAATTGTTATATTAGTTGCTCTTTTAAATGATTTTAAATTTTCACGAAATTGCTAGAACATTATTACAAAACCCTAGCTTAATATAGTGTTAAATCATTATTATCCCATGAGAATTAGCATTATGGAACAACCTCGGCTTGGCATTCGCAGCATACCTGCATAAACAAAACAATATCACCAACATTGGAATATTTAGGTGGGAACATGTTTTATATTTTTTACTTAGAAAAAATATTAAGACTTAATTTAACGTTTCATTATAAAAAAAAAAAATAGTAAGACTGGACTAATTAGGTTCATACCTTGTTTTCTTTTAACCAATTTGAAATGCAATCCTTATGGAAGGCATGTTTACATGGTAAGATAGTTATCTTATCTCCCTTCTCATAGTCGACTATACATATGGAACACCTACAATATCACACAAACAAAATTCAACCAAAATTAGAATCATAGTCATAACCACAAATTACATGGATTAATCAAAGACTAACCATAAATGATATGGACTAACCATGGCAATGACGATATAGAAATTGAAGCCACATGTATATAAACTAGATATAAACAAGTTGAAAGATATAAAAAGGTATGACTCTTACTCTTTTTTATCGGGAACAAAAGTTTTCTTTGAACACCACCAAGTTTTGCGACTGTACTTTTGAGTTGGTAATCCCGAGATTATATTTTCTGGTAATCCTTCTTTACTGACTTCCTCGGTTGATTCTCCTAACCCATTTTCGGGATCGTTGTTCTCAATAGCAGTTTGATTAGGTAAATTATTTGATTCTGAATTTATGGGATTAGCAACAAGGGTAGGCTGATCCTGAGGCCTCTCACCATCGTTAAGGCCACTAGTTCCTCTACTAGTCTGAAATTTAATTAAAAGCAATTGGTTTGCCTAATATAATCAATTTTACATGAACTATGTGTATATAAAACCGCGATATAAATTCTCTAATAGCAAAAAAGAACCGAGCTAGTGTACGTACGTATAGTAGAAATAAAATCACATATTTGATTTAAAAAAAAAAAGACATGCAACAATCTATTTATCTTAAAGCTAGCACGAGCGGAGGGTCGTATTGACTAAGTCTAGACGACAGTCGTGTTTACAAGCAAGGGTTCATATTCCAGGTAAAGGGAGCGATTCGGCTTAAAGCTAGCACGAGCGGAGGGTCGTATTGACTAAGTCTAGACGACATTACCGAAGGAACATCAGGCTGAGGAATGTTTGGAGGGTTTTCTACAGATTGAAGAAAACATAAAATATAAAGAACGTTAGCATTTGTAATATATAAAAATTACTGCAAAGCCATGAAAAAATCTTGTGCATATTTAAGTCCAATCTTTTTTTTTAATTGTCGAAAATTAAAGTCCAATCATGTGCTTCTTTTACTTTACTTTTCTTTATTTGTAAAAAAAAAAAAATGTGATGGTAAAAACCCTATACATAAATGCTACTATATTTTTTTTTTTGGGACAAAATCTTAAATGCTATATATATATATATATATATATATATATATATATATATATATATATATATATATAATCATGAGACATACAAATATCACCTTCCATGGCATGCAAATTTTTTGCCAATTCTTCATCTTCCTGTAATTGCAACATTTTTGCATATTCTTCATCAGCTTGTATGGAAAGCGCTTCTGTTTTAAAAAATTCAATATTTAAATTTAATATAATAAAATATAAAAAAAGGAGTAATTAATGATTTTATAAAACATAATTCATACAACAATAAGCTCATAAAGATATGTGGATATATTTTACAGAAACTTTATAATTGATTTACCTTCTTTTTGTTTGATTTTCAATGCGATATCATCCGGGTCGTTAATCGTTAGGTATAAATCATCAAACTGCAAATCTATTCCTAGTGCAATTGCTTCATCAATGGCCGCCTGATTTAAGGATTGAGACATTGGTTTTGTTGATTTTTAGAATGACAGAAGGTAATTGATCTCTAACCTCTTTGATCCAATATATATACATTGAATCATTCATACCACTATCTTTCTCATTTATCAAAATCTATTCTCAAATCTTTTAATAAATATACATAGATTTCCTTACAGTTATTTTGGTATATAGTGATTTCAAAAGGTTTTAACTTTTTTTTTCCTATAAAGTTGGTTAATGATCACAGTTGGTAAATAAAATGACATATAGTGATTTTAGAATTAAATAGATTACTAACACATGTAAAACCATTAAAATAATAACTATAAATTTCATTGAAATTAATAATTAAGGATAAGGTTAGAAATATATTATGCCATATAATATTGGAAAATAATATACTATCTAAAGTTAGTATAAATTATTTAAAAGATTAAAATAATTATGATTAGTTAGATTGTGATATGTGTATAATTAAAACAAAAATAACTAAAAAATAACTGGGATCATTTGGCCTCGATAATTTAATAAAACTTTCAGATGTTCCAAAAAAAAAAGGAAAAAAGATGGCTTGCTACACGAAGTATCCGCGAAAACATGGTCACACATGCAAAGTTTAAAAATGTATCTCTAACTACACAAACTATATGTATCGCATGCCCACATATACGAACTATATGTAGTCATGTCGCCAACATCACAAACATTTTTTTCCAATATATTTTTCGCCGGAATCCGGTATTGACCAGTTTGACCGTCGTTGACCAACATAAATATTCAAAAAGAAATTTTTTTTTTAGTTTTTTAATATTTAGAAAATTATGTTATTGAATCATTTATAATATTATAAAATTAAAAAATATATACAATATTCAATATAAAAATATTTTGTATATATATTCAATGCATTGATTTTTATAATTAGTTAGTTTTGATAATTTCAAAACTAAACTAAAAATAAAATAAAAACCAATTAGGTAAAATAATTGTAAATATGAAATTTTCTATACTCTCTAGTCTAAAGTTTTTTGTATAATATGTTGTTAATTTTTATATCTAAAATTATTACAAAAAATTCTTTTAATAATACAAAAAAAATTAACAACATATTATAAAAAAACTTTTGACTGGAGAGTATTTCAAGTTTTCTATTTATAATTATTTTACCTAATGGATTTTTGTTTTATTTTAGTTTAGCTTTGCAATTGTTGGAACTAACTCATTATAGAAATCAAGGCATTGAATGTATATACAGAAGATTTTTATATTGAATATTGGATATATTTTTTTAATTATACAATATTATACAATAACATAATTTTCTAAATATTAAAAAACTAATTTTTTTTTTTTAATATTTATGTTGGTCAACGCCGGTCAAACTGGTCAATGCCGGATTCCGGCGAAAAGTGTGCCAGAAAAAAATGTTCGTGATGTTGGCGACATGACTACATATAGTTCGTATATGTGGGCATGCGATACATATAGTTCATGTAGTTTAGGATCCATTATTAAACTTTGCATGTGTGGCCATGTCTTCGCGGATACTTCGTGTAGTCAGCCATCTTTTTTCCAAAAAAAAAACTAAAAACAATAAAATTAAATTGTCCAATTGTTTTTTTCTTGGGGTCAAATTATCCAATTGTATTAGATGTCCAAATTTAGTTGGAAGATAAAGAGATTCGACAAAAATAATTTATATCTTATTAAATTAAGGCAAGACAACATTATACCTTATTTAATCTATTTATCTATATAGATTCAAAAAATCAAATAAAATCATTTCTAAATACTCGAAGACTTTTTTTTTAGAAACCCAAATTATTTTAACTGTTGCCTGAACATTACTTATATGAAGGTCATCACCAATGAAGTTGTCCGTTCAACGAGACGGTTCCTAACGAACAATGTTGCGAGTTACAAAAAATAACATCTAAAATTATAAACTTTAATTTTTGATCTTGAGTTACAATAATTTTACTTTTCAACTCTGTATACGAATTTTTTTACGTAGATAAAACTTGTTTTTATTAAATTATATCAATATTATATATTTTCAGCAATTATTTTGTTTTTTTATAATATTTAATTTCAGCACCTCGCGCAGATAACACCTCAAATAATAAATAATCACAATGGATGAAAAAATTCATATACTTAATATCTATATCTAATGAATTTACCATGACCAAATTACATTGTTAATTAATCATTATTTTCCGACGAGAATTAGCATTAATATATTAATAAACCTCTCGTTTGCACACGCAGCATACCTGCAAATAGAAGACAATATCATTTTCATTAGAATACTTAAATGAGATTTTTTTTTCGCATGTTGCAAACAAAAATTGCCTTTTGTGTATTTCTATTATCGCAGCTACATATTATACACACAGTGATCACATGCAGTTCTTAATATTATAAAGACAATCTTTATGTCATACCCTGTTTTCTTTGAACCAATGCAAAATGCAATCCTTGTGGTAGATATGATTACATGGCAAAGTCATTATTTTATCTCCCTTCTCATAGTCGACTAGGCATATCGTACACCTACAATAGCATCACCCAAACCAAAGATTATACTTCACATTAACCAAGAGTAACCATAAATTTATGTGTATTAAATTTTGGTATAATAATAGACACATTGGATTTTAAATTAAAAATGAAGACCAAAAAGATAATTAGTGATATGATCGTACTGGGAATCATCGGCAACAAACTTCTTTTTCTTTTGCCACCACCACCTGAATTTGGGTTTTTTCCCATATTTATGAGTTCGTAATTTGGATATTTTCCATTCTGGTAAGCCTGTATTGTCGTCTCCCACTGATGCTTCTACCTCATTCAAACCCTGCTCGTTCATAATAGTGCTAATGAGTATCGATAATATACATGTTCTATTGTTAGAAGTCTTAATATTATGTATGCATCAAGTTGACAGAGTACATACTTCATTGTAAAAACTATGTAATGAGATATCTGAGGAACTACGTCTAAGTGTATACTGGTCCGGGGAGCTATTGCCATAGTTATTATAGCCGTAAAACCTTCCACTCGTCTAATATTTAGTAAGAAAGCAAAACAAATTCTCGATAAATTAGTTGTCAAATTTTACATGAAGAATGTATGTTTCTTTTTAGAACTTATAAATGAATATAACAACTATAGTAGTCATTATAGTTACCGATGGAACATCATGTAGGTGAAAGAATGGACAAGAACAGTACGGACAACGAAATTGCGACTGCGACTGACAACAACATGGACGACGAAGGTACGAAGAATTTACTATAGGTTAAAGTGAAAAGAAAAAAAGCATCAGCATTAGTGATACAACATTTATTTATCATATAATAAATTTATTAGAAATGATGTTTGAAGTTTATTGACAATGTGTTTTCAATTCATATTTTAAAAACAAAAGTAAGTTTAGCAATTATTTAAACATTTTTTAATAACAAACTACATAAAAACACTCTTATCTCATGGTTTCTTACATTTTATTTTTTATACGTTTTGAAATCATATGATATAAGAAATATAATGTAAGAAATCATGATTAATATAATTTTTAAAATATACATGTAGTAAAAAACGTACACTAAACGTAGTTAATTGATTTTTTTCAATCAACTTTACTTTATGCTTGGAAATTTTTTCTCAAACCGAACACTGTGCAAGTACTTGCAAAGTTAAGCTTGAAAAACCTTTAGTCTAAAAGTCCCTTTCGAGCTTAAAATATAAACCAGCATATGTTTCAGGCTTTGGTCCTTACTAACATGTATATAGTGCGATTGAAGCACATCATAATTCATAATTGATTCAGATATCTTTTGATGTAAAATTTACCTATACAAGTTTGACACCCATGAAAGTTAGCAGGACCGCGAAACATCGATTTACTTTGAAGATGGCCAAGAGACTAATTAAGTTTCTTTTAATCAATATAAAAGGACTACTCCCACCCTTGATCTTTGTCATCTCCCAACAATTTATTTATAATCAACATATTTAAGCTTTTTCTTGCGAGCTATTTTAGGTAATCGTTATATCTAACATAGATTATATCAACTAAAAAGTTTCATATAGAACACATGTTGAATTTGTGTAAATAATAAATTGTGATGATACTACAGATGGATATCACATCATATCAAAATCTTATATGTATTATATTTATGCTTTAAAATCCAGAGAAATTTAATTTTCTTAATTGAATGTGTATATATAGTAAACATAATAATTTCATATATAGATATATATTGAAAGAAAACTATATTGATACCTTTTGAAATTTTATCTCTCAAATAAATTCTTTTTTAAAGAAAAATGTTATGATTTTTGGATAAGTTATATCTTTCATCACTGTTAGTTTAGTAAAAATAAAGATGAATCCAATTAGATCTCCTCTCATCACTGACTTTCTCCTTGCTTTTTCATCTAGAAACCAAGTAAAAGATATGCTTCTCATTGCAATGGAAATGGTATAATCTACAAATTATGGACTGATTCAATTTGCAATTTCACCACCACTGCTCCTCTTCTAGTTAGCAAGCAACTACTTAATCGCATTCAGAAAAATCAACTAGTCTGATCTCCATTTATCATATATACACATAAATATAAATTAACATTAAAAATATATATATACATACAGTATTTCCACAGAATTACATTTTCTTAAAGTATATATATAAATTATTCCATCCGTTTCTTATAGTGAATACCATATGTATATTCATGTATATAAATTAATATTTCAATAAAAATTAAGGAATCACAAGCATGCATATTCTCTTGCACCCACACAAAAAAAGTGCATGCAGCTTAACGTGATCTCTATCGTTAGGTAGCTCACAAATGACGAACCTAAACCCTCTTCACCATAAATTCAATCCACCTCCACTCTATATAAACAACAATAAAACCCTAAACACTTAAATAGATCAAACAAACACTCCACATTCTCAAAATCATATTTTCTTATCGCATAAAGATAAAGAAAGAAGAAGATGGCAGCTTCGTGCAACTCTTCCAAGTCATTCATGATGGCGGTAGTGATGGTGGCGCTGGTCCTGGTGGTGGCAGCAACGGTGGTGGATGGACAGAGCTGCAATGCACAGCTGAGTGGACTGAACGTGTGTGGTGAGTTTGTGGTTCCCGGAGCTGACAGGACCAACCCGAGTGCTGAGTGTTGCAATGCTCTTGAGGCAGTGCCAAATGAATGCCTTTGCAACACGTTTCGCATTGCCTCTAGGCTTCCCTCTCGTTGCAACATCCCTACACTTTCATGCAGTTGATATGGATCCTCCCATATAAATTCTAGGCGCTATATATTTGTAAGAACATACCATATAACGTTAAAACACATACATATATATGTGTAGTATCTAAAAATCTCTTCTTTTTTTTCTTTTTTTCTTTTTTGTATTGAACAGGATCAGAAGCATGGATGGAAATAAAGGAGATGGATATCTAAGAATAAAAAAACTCAAAGTTTGAGTTGTTGTTTTTCTTTTCTTTCTTTGGTTTTTTTTCGTTATTGTAAAACCAATGGATTTCGAATAAAAATGAATAATACTGAACTGAAATTATAAATGATTTGAGTTATATTATCAATTTATAATTTGTATACATGCAGTATATCACAAATCACTCATTTCAAAAGTATGTTTAATTAAATGGTTATTCGTATGACCAAAGGAACCTTTTGGTTCTTAATAAATTCGTTTGATAATTTAAAAATCAGGGGTAGCTGTAAGAAAAAATGAAAAATAAATCAAAAATGTATTACATATATTATATTATTATTAACATGTCGAATTAGAGGTTTTGTCATCTCAATTATTCTCCAAGAATTGCCACGAAAATTGTAAAATTAAAAATTAAAACCACAGCCAGAAAATGACCAAAACATCCCTAATAGTCTACCTCAAAGCGTGTGTGGAGGTTGAAACGCTCGGCGGACATCACGATTCACGAGCTCGGGCCACACGCTCATCTCTCTCTGTCTTTATTTAGCTAACATTAAAAAATTTATATAGTAGACTCTTTTACATTGGTTATACAAATTTTAAATTGTAAACACGAATTTTATATTTTATGTTAGGGTTACCTATAGGTAAAAATTTAAATAATTTAAATTGATGAAGAGTCAAAGTGTAGATCTTTTAGGCTTTTTTTTTGTCAAAGAGATCTTTTAGGCTTTTTAGCTCAAGGCTTGGTTTCCTCGGTTAGAAAAAGTTGCTGGTTTTGTTTTATTGTTTCTCTCTAATTAGTCAAAATCTTGAGGGAAAATGACAAAAGTAGAAACCCATTTGGTCAAAATCGAAGCTTTTTTGTTTTTTGGTCCGAGTAAAACTAGGGTTTCGTTTTTGGTTTTTTTCACCTTTCTAATATATTCTTCGAAGAAATTAGATTAAAAGGTCAAAGGTACAAGTTGAGTTTTTGGGGCCCTTTGAGTTAAAAAAAACTTAAAGGGGACAAGTCATATGATATAACAAAGGAAAGATCTTTTCTCTTTCATTTGCTGATCTCACTCGTACGATAGAGTAAAGAAGTATCTCATTTGGCCGTCAGAAGATTTTCTGATTTGATTGAAAGGTATGAAACTTGATGAACAAGCAAAGTAAACACTGAGAAGAGTAGAAACAGTGACAATACAAATATGTTGAGTCTTGCATTCTTTTCTTCTGTCCATTGGTGTCTTTCTTTTCTTTTGTTCTGTTTTTACTCTATAACTTAGATTCTTGTCTGATGTTTGTTGCAGAAAGGGAAAATGAATGGTGATCTTGATGTTGATATGTCTAGAGGAGATTTCAATCCAAGTTATTTTCTTGGAAAGCTTAAAGATGATGAGTTTGAAAGTAGATCATTGAGTGATGATAGCTTTGATGGAATGTCTGGTGATGAGGATAAACAAGAGCAACGTCCTAAGAAGAAGAAGAGGAAGACAAAGTATCATAGGCACACTTCTTACCAGATTCAAGAACTCGAATCGTAAGAAGTTTCTGTTTTCAAGAATATCTAACTTTTTCATATTCATCAAATGGTTTTTGAGTTATATATTGTTTGCTGTTTTCTGAGTGCAGTTTCTTTAAGGAGTGTCCTCATCCTAATGAGAAGCAAAGGTTGGAACTTGGAAAAAAACTTACTTTGGAGAGTAAGCAAATCAAGTTTTGGTTTCAGAACAGAAGAACACAAATGAAGGTACTTTATATGAGTACTGGAAATTAAAAGTTGTAATTTTGATGGTAAAGTTATGATTTTTATGGGAATGTTGTGGTTTTTACATTGACCAGACGCAACTAGAGCGGCATGAGAATGTGATCCTCAAACAAGAGAATGAAAAGCTGCGTCTCGAAAACAGTTTCCTTAAAGAGTCAATGAGAGGTTCTCTGTGTATTGATTGTGGTGGAGCTGTTATACCTGGTGAGGTTTCATTTGAGCAGCACCAACTTAGGATTGAGAACGCTAAGCTTAAGGACGAGCTTGATAGGATTTGTGCTTTAGCAAACAGATTCATTGGTGGGTCTATTTCACTTGAGCAGCCTTTAAATGGTGGGATTGGCTCACAGCATTTGCCTATAGGACATAGTGTCAGGGGTGGAACTTCACTGATGTTTATGGATCTTGCCATGGAGGCTATGGATGAGTTGTTGAAGTTAGCAGAATTGGACAATCTTTTATGGAGCTCCAAGATTGAGAAAGAATCGATGAACCATCTTGCAGGTTCAAGAGAAACTGGTTTAGTTCTCATCAATAGCTTGGCTCTAGTAGAGACTCTTATGGACACGGTATGAGAAACTTATATACTCTCTAAGAACCGGTATTTTATCGATACACACACTCACTAATTAACATCTCATCTTTTCTTTTGGATTGTAACAGAACAAATGGGCAGAAATGTTTGAATGTATTGTTACCGTTGGATCAACCGTTGAAATGATATCGAACGGTACTGATGGATCGAGAAACGGGTCTCTTCAATTGGTATGTTGTTCAAGAACCATAAAGATTTATATATTTTGGCCACATTGCTATATTCAATGATCATTTGTTTGGGGCAGATGCAAGCAGAGTTTCAAGTGATGTCTCCATTAGTTCCAATCAAACAAAAGAAGTTTCTTAGATATTGCAAGCAACATGGAGATGGTTTATGGGCGGTGGTCGATGTTTCTTATGATATAAACAGAGAAAACGAGTACTTGAAGTCTTATGGTTGCTCTAAGAAGTTTCCTTCAGGCTGCATCATACAAGACATAGGCAATGGTTGCTCCAAGGTAACTTGTCAATTTTTTATGTCTTGGATCTGCGTGAGTTTTTTTTGAATTGTTTATAGTGAAGAGTTTGGTCAGTCTTGTAAACTAATTACAAAGGAGTCGACAATTAGCCTGAGAACCTGAAGCCTTTTTGTATAAAACTATAAAAGATTCTTCTATTTCTTTGTTAATACATATTAACTCATATTAAAGGGTTCACTTTTCAAGATAGAGCTTGCTTCTTGTCTGAGCTAGTTCTAGGCTATAATATATAATTTATACAAAAAAATATCTTGTTTTGTTTATACTGGATTAGAGGAATCGCTATGTAACATTTCTTAGAAAATGGGTTTTACTTAGTTACTACTATATTCACTCAATGTCCCACATTTGGTTTTAACAAATAGACTTTCAACAGGTGACATGGATAGAACATTCAGAGTATGAAGAGAGTCAAGTACACTCGCTTTACCAACCGTTGCTCAGTTCTTCGGTTGGGTTAGGCGCAACCAAATGGCTTGCGACTCTACAGAGACAATGCGAAAGCATCACGACCCTATTGTCTTCTCAAGATCACACAGGTGTTGTCTCGTTCTCTTTCTTTTCTCTCTGCATTTGAATCTTGAAATGTTGCAATTTGAAAGAGAGAAATCATTCAAGAATCTTTCGATAGGTTTGTCACTTGCTGGAACCAAGAGTATACTAAAGCTTGCGCAGCGTATGAAGCTCAACTTTTACTCGGGCATAACTGCTTCGTGCATTCACAAATGGGAGAAGCTTCTTGCTGAGAACGTGGGACAGGACATGAGGATACTGACAAGGAAGAGTCTTGAGCCGTCTGGTATTGTCCTGAGCGCCGCAACATCCCTGTGGCTACCAGTGACTCAGCAGAGACTCTTTGAGTTTCTGTGTGATGGTAAATGCAGAAACCAGTGGGATATTTTGTCTAATGGTGCTCCAATGGAAAACACGCTTCTCGTCCCAAAAGGACAACGCGAAGGAAGCTGCGTCTCTCTTCTTCGTGCTGCTGTGAGTTTATAATCTATTCTAAATCTCTCTATTCATGGAATTCCAGATAGATCTCTGTTCTTGGTTACTGATTAGACCAATTTGCAGGGGAAGGATCAAAATGAGAGTAGTATGCTCATCTTGCAAGAGACATGGAATGACACTTCTGGTGCACTAGTGGTATATGCGCCTGTCGATATCCCATCTATGAATGTTGTTATGAGCGGTGGAGATTCAGCTTATGTGGCGCTTCTTCCATCAGGGTTCTCGATATTGCCTGATGGATCATCATCATCATCGTCTGATCAGTTCGATACCGATGGAGGTTTGGTGAATCATGAAAGCAAAGGATGTCTCTTGACTGTAGGATTTCAGATTTTAGTAAACAGCCTACCGACAGCAAAACTCAACGTGGAATCTGTTGAAACTGTTAACAACCTCATCGCTTGCACCATTCACAAGATCAGAGCTGCTCTTCGTATTCCTGCTTAGCTTAATCTCTAGGACCTAATCTTGTTTCTGTCTGAAACATATTGTGAGAGTGTAGGAGAGACGATAAAAGATTACATTTTGTGAGACTGTAGGAAAGTTTGAGACTGAGTAGCAAGTAGAACAAACAGACAAATGAACGAAAGGTTACATTTTGCAAAACTGATTTGTTGTTGTGCTTTTGCCATTTTCCACTGATACATAAAAAAATGGTGGGAAAACGCTACAGACTTCTCAAGAAACATACAAGACACCTCGACGATAGAAAACAAGACTCGCTGAAGCAAAACCCGACCAAACAAAGAGCACCCACCAAGACATCAACAAACCGACTTGTTTAATGAAATCGCTACAAGGCAAAGAACCACATACCAGTTGAGATACAGCAAAAGAGCTCAAGTCAATCTGAGACAAGCCAAGGAAAAGAATCACAAGAACCGACGGCGCCAAAAACTGCAGAGCGACGAGGCATAAGTAGTGGTTGTGAAGGAACATCTTTGCCCGACTAAACTCCAAATCAGGAGTTTTGCTTCCGTGTAATCTCTGATACCACGAGAGCACTGCTTCGTTCAAGAACATCTGAAGGTTAGGACGAACCGCAATCGCTTGCAGTAAACCCGACAGTAACAAACACAAAACCCGAAACTTCACAAAATCATCACTCAACATGCCTACATTTCCAACCAACCCAGTCTGACTCCTACTAGTAGCAGCATTGTCACTTCTCTTCACCAAAATCTCTGCCAACGGATGAATCCAAAGCAACGAAGTGAACACCGATACGATATAATTCACATAGAGAATCATCCTCCCAAACCATCCACAAGAAATGATAGACAAATTACTCCTAATCTGATCAGTCCCAACCCAAAACGATCTTGCACTTCTCCCAGCAGGCATATAAAGGAAACCACCGATACAAGCCATCGAAAACGATATCACAATACAGCAAAACGCATTAACAGAACCCAATTGAAAATCAAATCCTTTAGGAAAAACACCAGCACTGATAATAATCCCAAACACAAACCCTAAAACACCAAAAATCAAACTCAATTTCTTCTCAGATTTCTTCGAAGCAGATCTCTCAACCGAAATCTTCCCCAAAGCAACGAAAACCTTACACAAAGCTATAGACCCAAGAACAAGCGGAAACATCAATCCATTACCCAAAACTCCATGACTATCCTCAACACCGAAGTAATTCTGAAGAAGAAAGCAACAAACAGCTAAGAACAATAACACGAAAAACGAATTGTACTCAGTGAAATACATTCGAGATCTGAGATGATCTTCATCGAGCTTAATTCGAAAGATCTGAGCATTGCTTTCGTCGAATTCGGATTTATCTTTGGATCTGTTTCTTCTTCTGACTTCAACATTGGACTTTGGATCATCGGTACTAGATGGTCGTCGAATCGCGGGTCGGAGACCATTTCCGGCGTTGTTTTGGTTGAGATTTTCAGGTTGGGTATAGGTACAGAGACCGTGGAGGAAGATGATTGAGATTCTGAAGAATGAGAGGAATAGGGTTAAGAAGAGAGATAATAGGATTTGAAGTGTTAGATTCCTGTAAGCTCCAAGAAGCTCAAGCATTGTTCTTTACTCTTTTTTGCACTCTGTTTCTTCGACTCTCTCTGGTAGAAGAAGATGTGAAGTATGAATATACAAGAACAGAGTTTGATTTGGTTTTCGAGATTTCGATTTTTTTTTAATTGGCAAAGGCCCAGTGGGCTGGACTGATGGGCTTTTAAATGGCCTTAGCTGTGATTGTGAACAAACCCTATTTAAATATCAATTTTCGATAAGATTTTTTTGCCCTATTGCCTATTTTAAATGTTTTTTTTTTGTTTTTTTAGGGTTATATTTTTTAATAATTCTAGAAAATGAATTGCATATACATTTGATATGGAAATAGATTTTGTGTAGCTTGTATTCATAGAGAAGTGTCTAAGAGGGAAACTAATACATACATAGACATTGTGGCATCCCAATGCATCTTGTACATTTTTTGCTCACCACTCTGTATTATTCAACCGTGATTTTCAACGATTCAATCCAAACATTATAATAGAAACTATTTAATATTTATGGTTTAAAAACCCAAAATATTGACAAATTTTTTTTTTTAAAAATATATATCTAATTTTGCTCAACGAACGATTCAACGAAGTTCAACTTCAAATAACATAACGATTCAATATTATCTTCTTCCGATGGGCTCAAAAAATGGTTTATCATGCAAATGAGGTTGATCTTCAAAAAGTTACTTGGATGTGATCCAGCTAATCATCGACCTCTCTCATGAGTTAATATTTTGCGGGAGTAAAGGAAAGAAAATCCTCTTCCAACCAACGAGATAGTCATAACAAATATAAATAAGCATATTGAAAACGAAGTAGAAACAAAGTTTGATATGATGAGAATTGCAATTAATTCATTGAAACCAATGTGACTATGAACGTGATATATATTGATTGTTTTTTTTTTTCGAAAAAAATATATATATATCGATTGTTGTTTAGGTTAACAAATCTAAAAATCATCGATGCGCCAGTGAAAATGACAAACAATATAAAATTTTCAGACAATAAAGAACCATTACAAAATAGACTAAAGAATTAATTCTCAATTATCAAAAAAAAAGTTAGGTAAACTAAAAAGATACCAAGAGTTTTTAAAAAAATTATTAATGAAATCTAAGATCGTTTTAGGTTATTCCTCCTCAATTGACTCACATTACAACATTTAGCTAGAGTGGTGGTTTCATTTCATATCTTTTGCAAAATGTGTTGCACTTTGCTAGGACGCCTTTACGAACAAATGTAAATGATTCTTTTTTTTTTTCTTTTTTTTTCTCAGCCAAATGCAAATGATTCTCAAAATCGTCTTTTGTTAAATTTCTAATTCCTGTGAGACTATTCATATTTGTAGCCACTCAATTTGTGTGAATTTAGTAACATGAGATAATAATAAAAAATTGTTTATCTATTTTGTATGAATTTTAAATTCATTGATTTGAAGTCGGATCAAATCGACTCACTCAGTCAACCAAACAATCCTCTTTCGATCCAGCCTTAAATCAAGGATGAAAATACTCGTTTTTTAATATTTTTTGCTCGATATATGATAAATCAAACACAAAGAAGCTTATTTTCTCACTTTGAAATGTATTAGTTGATCATTTGTGGGAAATACACTAATATTGATGCTTGAATAAAAATTTATTAATCATTTGATCTTCTATTTATGTGTTGTAATGAAATTTATTCTAAATAATATAGTTTTATTGGATATTCTAAACATAAATTAAGTGGGTAGAAAATGTAAACTTTAAAAATAAAGGACAACGTAAAAAATTAAAATTAAATATACTTGGAATATTTATTTTATAGCAAGAAATATAATCAACTAGAAAAAAAAACAGAGAGGACCCAAACTAAAAAACAGCAACTATTTCTCAACCAAAACACCAAAACAACACCACATGCTAATCAAATTCCTTACGTCACTCGAGATTAGTGTGACGAGCACGTACCGACTCAGAAGACTCACCCAAAACGTCACCCAACTTGTAAACAACCATCTCAAACAACACAAACAAAGCTCCTTCATATACACTTCCCATCGGCAACAACCGTCTCTCTTCCATCTCCGCCGCCGCATCACCACCGATATCACTCGCCATAGTCTGAGCAGGAACATAACACACATCCGTCGCATGCTTCACACAAGAACCTATCTCTGGCTCCGCAGTGATGAGTATAACCTTAGCACCGTTCGATTTAGCTACAGAACAAATCGCATCGACGGTTGAGAATCCTCCAGGACCAGCTGAAGCGATTAGGAGATCGGAAGATGAGATTGGTGGTGTTGTCATGTCGAAGACTAAGTGGGTGGAGAGACCAAGGTGGAAGAGACGCATCGCGAAGGCTTTTAACATGAGACCTTCGCGTCCGACACCGTAGAGGAAGATACGAGAGTTGTTGCGGTTGCGAGAGATTGCGGCGAGTTCTGTTACGAGGAGATCGAGTGGTGGTGGATATGGTGAGGTTGGTTTGGTGAAGACGGAGGAGATTTGGTTACAGATTTGAGAAGATAGATTCGCCATTTCTTGAGTTTTCTTGTTCGCCATTGATGTTGAATAATTCAGCTTATGTATCATCTTAATATCGTGCAATTTGGACCACATTTACAAAATTCTATTACCGGTTGATTCAGATAATTAGATTCCGGTTTGGTTCGGTTTTTATGTCTACCAGAATACAAAACAGGAGACACAGATAATCAGACAAAAGAACATGCTACAATGTAAGAACATGGAAGAACAAAAGTGACAGTAAGAAATTGCATTCAAAATGCTATAAAGACAATCACATAATTTCAGAATTTTGATGGTTTTTTTTTCTTTTTTTTCTTCTTACATTTCTGGAAGATTAGTTGAGATAGAGAGCTCTGTAAAACCTGGAGCAGAGCACACATTTGATTGAACAGAGAGGTTTATATTAACTCGGGGATGAAGAAGACATCCCTGATACCGTTGTGGCTGCATCTAACTCTTTGTTTCCGCCTTTAGTGTGTCGCGAGGTTGTTGCCTCTGATTTACTGCCTTTTGCACCATCATCCTCTTCCTCTTCTTCTTCATAGAATGACCCTGAGGATCTCAGTTCCTTCACCTTCCGAAACTCGTCGTAATGTGCTTTTCTGTGTGCGTTGAAACGTTCATTTTTCCCACTTCCAGAACCTGTGTTTTGCACACAAAAAAACGGATATATATCGAGATGAGCTAACGAAAGAACCTAAACAAGACAGTATATTTGTTGGTTTTTGAGGTGGACCTTCTTCATCTTGCTCCATCGGATCTGCTTCTTCTTCATCAGACGAGCTCCAGCCACCACCACCAGAACCCTGGCTACTATTTCTACTGGAAGAAGCTGCTGCATCATTCAGAACAATCCTCAATTCTTCGGCTCGTTGCATATCATCAACACATTCATCAAACGATCTTCCTCTAGGAGACAGAGAACCTGGCACAATCAATCAGGAAACACCAAAAGTGTTTAAATTATTTTCACGGATTAGAAAAGATCAGAACTGATTCAAGTTAACCTTATACATCTAGAATGACAGATTTCAAAATCAACCAACCAATTGCAAGTACAAGATTTCCCCCCAAAACATAAGTAATCGTCCAACTTCCTAGATGAATTAAAAAGCAAATAATTTTCACTTACAATTGCTTTGCTTTCTGTCTAACATACTATCTATTTTTACTTATATGATTAGATGATGACATGTATCAACAATAAATGCAAAAATGTCATATGCATTTTAATTTTTCACTTACAATTGCTTTGCTTTCTGTCTAACATACTATCTATTTTTACTTATATGTTTAGATGATGACATGTATCAACAATAAATGCAAAAATGTCATATGCATATAAATGTATATCGCAAATTCTGTGCATAAACAAAGAGAAACCAAATAAAAGAGAGATGGACAAACCATCATCATCAATCATCGGGTGGTACGGTGTCTTTGGTTCAGTAATCTTCTGCCTAACAGGTTTGTTAGATTCAATCTCCACTATATTAGCTTCATCCCATTGAACACGCCCCCTGCCATAAAAAAACAAACATCCTTAATGTTTCACAAAAGAGGCTAATCCCATGAGAAACTATACTAGATTATACACGAGGGTCACCTCTCTTTACATAAGAAAGTCAATATCTACGCCTTAACCTAAAGACAATATCGTTCACAGAATCTTACAGTTATTAAAAATTCTGCTGGAATATGAAAATCCATGAACATTAACACAATTAGACCTCCCTCTTCCATTTCCTTTTTCAATGGGTGTAGTAGAGAAAGATCTGCTTTACACTTCCTTCATAAAAGACCGCCATATAAGGCTTAGAACTTCATATCTATGAATATACATCCCTCCACAAAATTAACACAGCCCATTGACTTCAGAATTGATCTTATAAACACATTGAAGGACCGTTCTGATGCAGCAAGCATTCACAACTCTAATAGAGGAAACTATAGACACAAGCGAAAGAAAATTCCAAAAAAGAGAAACATACTTCAGGGTTCAGGCTAATCAATCCAATCTGCTAACTTTCCAAAGAAATGAACACAATGGCATAAGTGACCACTCAAAACGACAAACCTTTAAAGAAGATGAAGCAGGAATCAGTATCTACCTCTGTCATGATCATTGAGCTAAAGTATCCTAAAATCTATAAAGCAAAAATCTCCTAAATCTCTCAAATTTTCTGAGTAATGGTAACAATCAAAAAGGGTTTAACCGAAAGAACCAATTGATATCAAAAGCATATCACTTTCCTCAATCCTTCACCCAGATTAAGAACATATCCCAAAACACACTGTAAGAAACCCTAGCCTATGTTTGGTTCTACAAAATCCAAAACTAAAATCAAAGAGAGATCTTTTGTGACCATCATCAAAGATTCACTAAAATAAAAGCAATCAAAAACGATAAATTTTCGTTACCTCTTTGGTTCGGCCATCTTCAAAATCTCCAGCAACTTTTTTTTGTTGTTGTCTCGATCGCAACTTTTTATTAAGACCTGTTGTGATCTTGGTTCGGTCAATTAAAGATGAAACAGAAACCGTCCGTTTGTTTGACTTTAACCACTGTACCTTCCAGATTTCGCCACGTGTGATACTTCAAACCCGTTTGATTTGATCAAGCGCGTGAAGACTTGAGTAAGGGTAGTTTTGGAATTTCGCTTTAGAAGTTTTTTCTTTTTTTCTTGTTTTTTTTTTGATCAAGACGATCGAATCGAAGACGGAGTGTTAAAAAACAAGCTTCGCTCTTTCTTTAGTTGTTCTCAAGATCTTCAGAGACTGTAAGTATTTTTGGAATCTTCTTTTCTTGTTTCTCAATCGAAGGTAGAAAAAGAATATTTTTGATGATTTTACCATGTTTTGGGAGCTTGTATTGATCCAGTTCTTCGCTCTCTAGGCTAAATTTTTATCTTTCTGATGTGCACAATGTGAATGGGTCTTAGGTCTTAGTGATTCATGGGTTTTTTCTTTGATCCATTACCTATCCAGAAGATCTACCTTTTTGGTTTGCGGTTGTTGGAAATTGGAACACTTTTGTGATTTATGTGGTTTTGGTAGTTTGATGTCTCTTGCTAATTGATTTCAGAACAATGTAATATCCAATTACTTGTTGATGCTTCTGTTGTGCTTACTGAAATTATGATGAGGAAGCAAAGTTATGCTGATGCTGATGATAATTGATAAGCTCTACTCTTGTTTTTGGTTCATGTGAAAGACAAGGGAAGATCAAAGTAATTAAAGGAGCTGAAGTAGGAGGACGTGATGTTTTCTCTTATGTCTGGACTATGGAGTTACATGTTTAGCAAGACTGAGTTTCATGTGCTTATTCTTGGTATCGACAAAGCTGGGAAGACGGTAATGCTTTCCTTGTAATCTTTTTTCGTTTGTAACTTCACCCTGGTATCTGATATGTTTTGAGTATACACCTCTAATGTACTTGGCCTTACTTCAATGTCGTAGACATTTTTGGAGAAATTGAAGACGATATACTCAATCTCGGAAGGCCTTCCTCATGATCGAATTGTTCCTACTGTGGGGCTAAATATTGGTCGTATTGAAGTCTCCAATGCTAAAATTGTGTTTTGGGATCTGGGAGGTCAGGTGAGTTGGAAATTCCCTGGCTCATGTAATTGATCTCTCTTCTTTGTATCTAATTCTGTGTTTCTAGTTGACTTTATTCGGCTTTGCTCTATAAGTCACATATACATTCGAAGAGCATATGCTTGTAAGTTGATATGAGATTAATAGGTTACAAGGAAGATACCTTTGAACTCTTTCCCTCTCTAAGTTTTGGCCTGAGCTTTTTTTGCAGTTGAGATTTTTTCTTGTTGAAAACTATCGGTTGTTTTGATTCACAAACCCTGATTGTGAAAAAGGATTAGTCGTTAATCAAATAATGTGCCTTTTCCCCCATATGGCAGCCTGGTTTGCGGTCAATTTGGGAGAAATACTATGAAGAAGCACACGCGTTGATATATTTGATAGATGCAGCTTGCCCAACCCGCTTTGAAGATTCAAAATCTGCTTTAGGTAAGTCTGTGCACACAAGTTGACTCCAAACAACCATATGAAGCTAAAGCTAAAATATAAATTGTCTTCACCAGAGAAAGCCCTGCGGCATGAGGATTTGCAAGGAGCTCCTCTTTTGATTTTGGCAAACAAGCAAGTAGGAGTTTGTAATGTCTCATTTGTTGCTTATATTCTTCAAAGATATGCTGTTGATGATAGTCTTTGAATCTCTAACCAATGAGCAGGACCTCCCAAATGCTGTGTCGGCCGAGGAACTGGACCGCTACCTTGATCTAAAGAAATTGGATGAAAGGGTGTACATGTTTGAAGCAGTTTCTGGATATGATGGGTAAGTAAAAACGAACTTTAGCCACACACACAAGATTCTTGCAGTCTAACAGAAACACTTTAAGCAGAAAATATTAAATGTATGTTTTGTTGAGAGCAGGCGAGGAATCAAAGAAAGTATAGAATGGCTAGTCGGCGTGATGGAGAGAAGCAAAAGAACCGAAACATTAAGAGCCCGTGCAGGGTACACTCCTGTGCCTAATTCATAGACACGAAAAGGACTCGCAAACTCAACTCTCCAATCAACTGATTTCCTCTGGAAACATTTGTAGATAAAACAGACCTGAATCTTTGCATTGTTTTGGCTCAGCATCAAATTCACATGATGAGTAGGAACTAGTAAATCTTCACTAATGTTATGATTCAATTGAGATTTTGTGGTCATGATTGCATTTAGTTACCCCTTTGTACTACTGCAAACCAATAATGTAATCAAGTTTCTTGATTTGCAAACGCATTCAAATGAACGAACAGAGGCTACATAGATTTATCGCTTGAAAGACGTGAAAACAAACAGAGATATGAAGCTATAGAGAGGTTTCAATTTGTTCCTGAAACAAAGAAGTAGTAGTGACTCAGAATTTGAAGGCTAAAAGTTTGATAAACCAATCAAGAACAGAACAGAGAGAGAGAGATTGTTACCAGAAATGAGAGGCTTAGGTCTGGTCTTAAACAAGATCTTTGTTCGTATAATCCCAACAACTTCAAGTTCCGTTGCTTTCCCTGAAACTTCATCAAATTGAAGCTTCTTCAAAACCAGTAATGGCTTCTTCAAAGTCACCTTAGAGCCTGCGAGTTCATGGTAACCAACCGTGAAGGTGTACGTTCCCTGCACCGGTTCAACAACAAATCATCAAAGGTCAACGAAATCTCCGACGATTACAGTTCCGGTTAGAGAATTGAATCAAAATAACAAAACCTGTGAGGAATCGGAGTGACAGAGACGGCCGATCTCAAGATTCTGAATAGAACCTTGGAACGAAGCTTGAGTCTCGACGACTCCTTGAAGTTCTACAATCGCCCACTCGCTACACTCTTCTTCTCCACATCTACACTTCACTCGAATCTCCATCTTCTTCTTCTTCTTCTCCGAATTCTATATATTGTTTTATATATATGTATGTATAGAAATTTTGGCGGAAAATTAGAGATCTTTCGCGGGCTTTTTTCGTTTGAGATGACGTAACTGTCATCTTCTCCAATTTTTGATCCTAGTAGCTGAAAAAAGCTACCTTTAAGAAGCAACCATTGTTAACAAAGAAAAAACAAGATCATTGGGGGAGGAGTTTTTTATGAGTTTTTCCAGGTTCTGTCGATGCACAACACTAATACTGTAATACTGATACATATGTATTTACAACAGAACATGGCCCGAAAGAAAATAAAGCTAAGGCATTGCACATGGATCTTAACACTATACCCATGGCATTATCAAAAACCCTAATATACGAACACACCTAAAAGTACACTAGGTTTTATTTTGTTCTTGTTAGTCCTTAGAGAAAGATTGTGTAAACCTTAGATCCTCAGGTTTACCAGCAGTCTTGTTCTTCATGTTACATTGTTGAACCATATACTCACAGTTGTTTTGCCTACCTTTAGCTTCTTGCGTTGCAGCTGTAGTTATCGTCATCCCCTCGGACTTTGACTTGGTATCTGGTTCATCTAATCCGATCGGGATTGCGCCTGTCAGGGTTTTTATAGCAAAGTCGATACACGGGTCTTGCCAGATATCTGTACCCGGGGGTGTACTCGTAAATCCCGGGTTTTCAGAGCCTGTGTTAACATTTCTGGACGTCTCTGGGATAAAGGAGACTCCTTTCTGCTTGGCGTGATTATTAATGGGATCAGAAGAGATCGCTGGCGTGTTGGGAAGGCACAGCGATTCTCCAGTCAGTGTTTTGATAGCAAAGGCAATGCAAGGATCTTTCCAAAGATCTGCAAGAGTCGAGTCAAATGAGGAGGAGAAGCTGTTGGTATTCTTCTCCATCACTTCTGAGCATGTGCCTTTTACAACAGATGAGTTAGATAACTCGTTACCTAATTTATTTCTCCTTTGAATGGCATTACCACTATCAGAAGGATGTGGTTGCTTTCCTTTATTTGATGATCTCAAAGGGGAGATCTCAGTTGCTTTCACACTGGTAGTAAGTTTAGCCTTTGGACTAGACCGTCCCAATCTTTTGCCTGCTGCTGTCTTTTCACACATTGTTGCAGAAGTTTGGCAAGACAATGGTGACACGGGCGACCTTTCTTCCTTCTGCTTGTAACCGTCAAGATGAAAAACTGGATTCAGTTCATATACTATCATTGGCGTTTTCATTGTCTTCTTGTCTGAAGAAGGCTTTCTGCCTACTGATTTACCGATATTTTGTGTTCCCACTACCATTTCTGCACTCACGCGATTGTTGTTTGCAGCAACATCATATGGTTTCTGAGAGCGATGTTCATTATAGCTTTTGGCTACTTCCTTGTTGAAGGGTATATCCGTTTTTTCCAATCCGCTGGTAGCAACAGGATTCACAGGTTGATTGCACTTTCCAGCTATGCCATCATCAGGAGGTAATATTCGTTTCGGTTGATCATCAGGAGGTACTACTCGTTGAACTTTGGTTCTTGTCTTCAGATCAGGCGTTGGTTCATCATCAGGAGGTACTATTCGTTGAACTTTGGTTCTTGTCTTCAGTTCAGGTGTTGGTTCAAGCTCAATACCAGCTAATCGTTTTGATGTTCGTCGGGCTACACTAATACTTAGCTCATTCTTCTTCACTTTAGCTTTACTCCTTGTAAGCTGTTTTTCAGTAGAATCTTGTTCCTCTTCTTCCTTCATAACAGATTCCTTCTTTGGTTCTTGTGACCTTGCACTGCTCAACCTCGATTTTACAGAATCTACAAATACAGACAACATAGAAAAAATTGGTGTACTCAATTCCTTTTGTTATCTCAGCCACTGCTCGGTTGGAAATTTTAAGTCAGGTATCTACATACCTTTTTCTGATTTTGCATTTGACGAAGACAAGTTTTTCCTTTTTATATCTACGACTTCCTCATTCGTACTGGCTTTAGTTTGGCTCCTAGTAACCCGTTTCGCTATGGGCTGCTTTTCGATAGGATCTTTCGCCTGAAGAACTGGTGAGGTTACGATGCTCCAATCAGAATTCATTTTATCTGCAAATATAATCGAATGTTGACATTTAACGTTACTCACTGCGTAAGTATGAGTATACCCTGGCAAGTGGCAAAATCAGAACCCAAAAGACTTTGTACTTACAATTCTTGGAATGTTCATCAGAAGAAGATAAGTTTCTCCGCTTACTTCTTCTGATATGAATATCTATCTTTTTCTCCTTTTCCAATAAATCATCTGCAGATTTCTTTTCCACATACTCCAGACGAAGCTAAAATCAAACAGAGAAAAGTTGTTAAAAATTTAACAGAAATATTCAACCATTTGATAGTGCTTTCCATTAAACTAACAATAACAAAAAGGAGAAAGGAACTCACGTCGGTCTTTCCATTTCCAGAATCATCATCTTCGATATCACTTTCCTTCAATTTACGTGCATAATGTCCAACATTGCCAGTCTCAACATACCGTGATGCGTCTTTGAAGGATTGAAAGATATACTCACTTTTAGGGTCAATGAAAAACTGCAAAAACAAAAACCAGGCATTTCCAAGAATCACATAAGAGATTTTCCAAATATTGAACATGTAATTGTAGGAGAAAATGTGGAAAGACACAAAATGTTCACTTTTGATCAAAGATGAGAAAAAAAGAGAGTCGAGGGTACAAACTGGATCTCTTCTGTTTTTACGGCCTGATCTGCTTGTTATTTCAAGCTTCTTGATCCATCCTTCAGGTAAGCCTTGAGCTGCAGATTTCTCAACTATAACCTGTATCACTTAAACATAAAGAGTCTTTCTTTTAAAGAGACGTATAAATGTCAAAATCTGAGGGATCACAAAGAACAAAATAAACATTGTTTCCAAACATATAAACACCACAAAACTCTAAGATATTCCGTGCTTATGAACTTTCCATGAACAAGCTGATACCAGACCCTTGACAATATGAATGTGATTCATCTCAAAACTTTCCCATTGCATACACGAAAGGTCAGAAGTTTTACAGCTTACGAATGTTACAGTTTTCTCTCGAAGATGGTTACTTAACAAACCAAACTCATTTTCACAAGATCTATTACTCTAACCATCTCAGCAGAGTAAGCATACACTTCCTAAGAGGCAAACTGAGACTTTAAAATTAACATCTCCACACAAGTAATAAGAGCTTTCAAAGCCACAGTAATACCAAGTAAAATCAATGGAATTTCAAAATGTAGCCTCATAACAAAGGTTTGATCAAACTACATCATCCATAACAAAACAAAAAGTCCTGTAAAGACCATTTTCTGACACTAACACACCTTGATCTAAAATTATTTAAGTAGACCTCTTCTCTTTTAATCTAGTGTCTATCTTTCCCTAAAAGCTAAGCATTGCATGCAAGAGAAATTCACTGTAACGACACAAAAGATTTCACCTTTTTCCAGCATTACAATATCATACAATCAGAAACTGAGACTGAAAGAGAGAGACAGAGAGACAGAATCAAAGAATTTGGTACTTCAATAAAGATTACTACAATAACAAGAACCAAAACATGCAGAAGATAATCAAGAGAGAGACTAAGGACAAAAGAAATCAAATTAAGAAATTGGGTTTAAACTGATAATCACCTTATCCTTTCTCCCATTCTTCCTCACTCTGATTTCCACTTTCCTCTCAGGCTCAGCCGATAAACCATCAGAGATCCCTTCTCCATTCATTTCTCCGGTCACCAGAAAACCACTTTCCTCTCTCTCTTAAATCCCTGATTCGCAACCCAGAATGGTTTCTCAACAAAAAACGCCAAAACCCATCAAGAATTCACCAAGAAGCGTCAGATTCGGATAATGGACACCGTCGGAAGTTATAAAGAAGGAACCTTTTATTTTGTCTGATTGTGTGATTTGGTTCTGTGTCTCCACTGAGGTAATAAGAAAAATAGGTTTTAATTGGGAAGAAGAAGAAGAGAGGGTTTACACGTGTAGTGTGAGGAGTTTCAATGGTGATTCCCCGATTTGAGAGGCTAACGAAAAACTCAGTCCACCACCGTACCAACACGCGAGTCTTCTGGACCAAACGCCTCTCTTCTCAATTGCTACTAATTAGCTCATTTCTCCATTTTATTCTCATGTACTGTTGTTATTTAACTTCTTTTTTTTTATTGTCAGAACCCAACTTTATACTGTAGATAAAACATTGCTAGTTTTGGTAAAAATCTAATTATAAATCTAGTTCTGGTGATGTTTTTTGGAAATACTTTTGACTATGTTGTCATTTTTGACACAATACTGTAAATGTTTGGATTGGTCCGATTGGAACTGATTTATGATCATGAGAAAAAGTGAGAAAAAAAAAAGACTGTAATATAGTAGTCAATTATGGATTTTCATATATCTGAATTTAGATATAATTTATTTCTATTTAATATTTTGTTTTAGATTTTCTGTTAAAAGTCATGTTATTAAATTTATATTTGTATATCATGTTTGATAGATTTTGAAGTGTGATTTTATTCTATCTATAAAGATTTTAAATATTTTATTAAAATTTAGATAAAAACAAAAAAGTATGAATTAATAAATCATTTGGATTGTAGTTTAAATCAATGGTATAAAATGTATTTTAAAATCCGAAAGTGGTTAATTTTTTCTATTTAAATTATGCGTCACGAAACTTATTATTTTTCTTATAACAATTTTTTTTTTCTTATCTACTTTCATTATCAAATTAATAACTTGTGCATACAAGGAATTTCAAAAAATACTACCGATTTTTTTTTGTCAACAACTTTGTCTTTTCCGATTTTTCTTTTAATTGCATTTTTGTCGTTTACATATTTGAGATTTTTTTTGTCAACAAGTAAATGCATTCTTTAAATTTGAATTGGAATTATGACACATCAATCATAAACACTAACACAATCCAATGTATTACGAGAATGCAAGTACTACAAGACATGAAAAACAGATTATCGGATGGGTGGCACTGTCTGTTGGATTAATGAAGGTTAATACAGATGGGGGGAGTGGGGGAGGGGGGCTTCACATGGTATTCCAGGTTTAGCTATAGCAGGGGGTTGTATTGCGGGATAGTGAAGAGAGTTGGTGTGGGGACTTTACTCTCAATATAGGAAGGTGTTTGGTATTTCTAGCGGAACTTTTGGGAGTCTATTACGGATTGTATCTGGTTTGGGAGAACAAAATGTCTCGGGTGGAGTTGGAAATTGATTCGGAAATAGTCGTAGATATTCTTAAAACAAGAATAAGTGAGTATCACCCGCTGTCATTCATAATATATTTGTGCCAAAAAAAAAAAAAAAAAACCTTTTTACCTTTAAATCCAAGAAAGATAAAAAAAAAAAAAAAAAAAAAAACAATTAACGAAGGAAGTAATTCACAACTAAAACAACAATAGAGTCAAAGACCCAACCACTCTCTATCTAGCACAAAAAATCTGACTTTTACAAAGACAAAAGTGAGAAAACCTTTTCAACACTTGATCTTCTCTTCTCTTCTCTTCTGTTGTCTCAACCATGGCGCTAGAACTATGGCAAACTCTCAAAGAAGCAATCCATGCATACACAGGTCTCTCTCCTGTAGTCTTCTTCACCGCTCTCGCTCTCGCCTTCGCCATCTACCAAGTCATCTCAGGCTGGTTTGCCTCACCGTTCGATGATGTTAACCGACATCAGAGAGCTAGATCCTTGGCTCAAGAGGATGAGCCACCGATTCCTCAGCCTGTTCAAGTCGGTGAGATCACAGAAGAGGAGCTTAAACAGTACGATGGCTCTGATCCTCAAAAGCCCCTTCTTATGGCTATCAAACATCAGATCTATGATGTTACACAAAGCAGGTCAAATTTTTGAATCTTAATTACAAAATTAGGTTATGGGTTTGATTCATTGTTTCCTCTAATCTCATTTGAGTGTATAAAAACTTGGACTTTGCATAGTTTTATCTATAAAGCTGTGAGAAATTGTAAAGTTGTTCACTTTGAGAATCAATTTCACTAAAGTAGTCTAATTTGAGAATCAATTTCAGAAAAGCACATTGTAAAGGTTGATCATTTTGCTACTTTATTTAAGAGAAAGATTCAAAGGAAGATGTTTTATGTTTTATGTCTGCTAGTGATTGAGATCTTTACTCTTAGCTCATGTTGGAGTATAATCGATTGATCATCTACTTGTGATACTATAGACTAGTTTGTGTGTGTCAAGTGTTGTGTTTGTGATGAAAGGTTTGATATTTTGGCTTCCTCAGATCATGTTTTAGCCTATAACAACTTGGACTCTAGATAGTTTTTATCTACGAAGCTGTTACATTCGTAAAGTTGTTCACTTTGAGAATCAATTTCACAAAAGTAGTCTAATTTGAGAATCAATTTCACAAAAGATGTGCTTTGCAAGCTTTTGGGTGGCATATTGTTAAAACTTATCCTAATGCTTCCTTCATACAAGAACAGGATTCAAAGGAAGTTGTTATATGTTCTTGTTGTTAATGTCTGCTTGTGATTGATATCTTTTATGAAAATTCTTAGCTTATCTTTGAGCATAAGTAGTTGATTATCTTCTTATGATAGTCTAGACTGGTTTTTGTGTATTTAAATGTTGTGTTTGTAATGAAAGATTGGATTTTTATTGGTTTGTAGGATGTTCTACGGACCAGGAGGACCATATGCTTTGTTTGCAGGGAAAGACGCTAGCCGAGCTCTTGCAAAGATGTCGTTTGAGGAGAAAGATCTGACTTGGGATATCTCTGGTCTTGGTCCCTTTGAGCTAGAAGCTCTTCAGGACTGGGAATACAAGTTCATGAGCAAATATGCTAAGGTTGGTACTGTCAAAGTGGCCGGTTCAGAACCTGAAACCGCATCTGTGTCTGAACCCGCAGAGAATGTTGACCGAGATGCTCATGTAACCACAACGCCTGAGAATACCGCTGTTGATAAGAGTGATGAGGCTCCTGCTGAGACTGAGTTGAAGGAGTAGAGCCCATTTCCAAGATTTGCTCTGATTTTTCATAGAGACCAGTTTTAAGAAAGGATTGTAGAATCTCTATTGTTGAAGTGTCAATGATAATCTTGTTTTACTTTCCCAAAAAATAAAGATTGCTGATTAATGATAAGACAAAAGGTTTTATAAACTGCTCATATCAGAAGGCGTTGCATTGCAAGATTATAAGTTGGTCAAGTTTATACTTGTGGTCTATGAATCAATTGTAATCCTCGATGTTTAAGACTAAGGGCAAAGAAGACAGTTGACCACGTTCTTCTGAGTGTTCCTTGCATTGCAGTCGCAGATATGTGCGCTCTTGAGGATCCCCTCAGCAATAGGGAAATCTCGGTGTCGTCGGTATTTGCAAATGTGGATTTTCTATTCTTGAAACAACCTGGCTCTTCAAAAGATTTGACCTTTCCATGGATTATTTGATACATTTGGAAGGCACGTAATGATAAGATTTTTAATGGAGTGGACATATAAGTGCACATGATGTTGTTAAGGTAAAGATACAGTATGAGAAACTGCATAGCTGCAAAAACATAACAAGTAACTTTGAACAACAGTCTTTATTACGAAAACCCGAGTTCCAGGGTGATAAGTGGTTTATAGATAGTTCATGGAATTCATACAAAAAAACAATAAAAAAGATAGTTCGGACTGATATTTTTCAAATATAGGTTGGATCGGCTTTCGTAACGACATAGAATGATCTCTTGTTAGAGTTAAGAATCTACGCATAAGCGGTAAGCCTTTCTCCTATGCACTCAGAGTTGGAAGAACTACTTTGGGCCATAATTTGTACGAGCATAAAAGTACATCACTACATCAGTAACTATCTCAACGGGCAGTTCATAACTTGAAAATTTGACAACTTCCTCAGTATATTAGCCAACTTTCTCAACATATATATTTTGAAGAGTTTACAAGACTCAAGAAAACATTTTATCTCTTCTCGGTTTTTGTCATTCTTGTAATTTGAGTTGTCTCGCAAACTGGTTAGCATGTAGTTCAACACTGCGTTTTCATAGAATCATAGTTTCATTAACGTAATAATAATATACAGTATATACTATATACCATCTATTGGGATAATCGAACCATTTTAATGTAAGTATTTCCGTCGACAAAAAAAATAATCTAGTTATACTCCTTGTTCAAAAAATCGCTAGGCGTTAGTTGGGCGCTCAAGCTGGGCCTAGCGCCTAGCCGAAAAATCGGAGATTAAGCGGGGATTAATCGAGGATTAGTTTTTAATATTTTTTACTTATATATTGTATATATATTATTCTGGCGGATTAAAATTAATAATGTTAGATGGTCCAGTGGTTGAAAGCGTTTTTCCTCATTTTCGGGTGGCGAGTTCGAGTAGACGTAGTTACATTTATGTTTATTTTAGGTTTAATTGATAGTGAATGACCAAAATACCCTCGTCTTCAACCTTTGAAAAACGAGATCTGTAACCCTAAATCCGCCGCCACCTAACTTTTTCTTCATTTTTCATCGTTTCTTTTTGTTTCTTCTATTGTTTATTGCTAGATATGCTAGATCCATCAACTATATATGAATTAAAACCTTCAAAAGAACAAAAAATCAAGTTTTTTCAAAAGTTCCGATTTTTAAGCCGATTATACCATAATCCCGGCGGTGCCTTGCCGCCGAGCGACTAGCCGCCGCGAAATCGGCCGCCTTGGCCGCGTTTTTGAACAAGGGTTATACTGAATTTTGGTTATAGGCGATCCAAATGGGCTGGACCTAGACTTATGGGCTTAAGATATCTTTTCCAAGCTGTCATGATGAATACGATTATTGTCTCAAGTGTCACGAGATATTGAAATCGTCAAAATAAGCCAAACATTCACCAAGATATCAACGCACATGTAGTTATTATATAGCAATAGTATTCTAAAACGTAATGGACCGTCGATCGACGTGTACTTTTTGCGTTCACTTTATTTGTCTTCAAAACTAAAATGAAAATCATAAATAAAGAGGTCAAATATTACCCACGTAGGAGTTGAGATCTACGATGACCAAACTAATCGTTAGGAAAGGTTTCAAAATTTGAGGTTCTTATACCACCAACGCTAACGTAGTGCTAATCTCGTGTTTCCATTTCTTCCTCCTTTAATGCTATTTCTATCTGCACCATTTTATTTTTTCTTTTGCTTCATTAAAATAAAAATAGTTACGAATTACATGAAATAAAATCTAGATTTTGGTTTTGTGAAAAAAAATATGGAAGCAAATAACCAATTAGTTTATCCACATCAATAAAAGTAGTAACGTTTTCCGATATATTTTTTTCTTCCAAATGAAAAAATATTGCAAGTTGGTGTACTTCCCATACTTATCCTTATCCCGGTGCTCTAACTTTTTTCCTCTGTAAGAAAAGCTCTAACTTAAGGAGTGATCAAGATAATAATCAAGGTGTTTAATTTTACTGTAAAAGATAGACTCTTAACCAGTTATAATCACTACAATGATCAAAGATCATAGTTTGAGCTAGTGGTTGTTTAGCCATGTGCATGGTCTCATTTTGATAGATTAGCCTTTTGGATTATTTGAACAAAAACACTAAAAAAAAAAATGTAGCTAATTTCCATAGATCAGATTATTTTTCTAGTTGGAACCATTGGAGAACAACAAGTACCAATAACCAATGACGTGAATGCATTTCCATTTAAAATCACACAAAAGAAAAGTTTCATGTATCATGAATGTAGCAAATTCCATTTATAAATATTTGGCTTAGCTAAAATTCTTATACATGGTTTCTTCTTCATCTTGTAAAAAAATAAAATAAAGATATATAAACCATGATACCTATATATGCATTTATATTAAACTAAATATACCCCACTTTTTTTTTGTTTTCGATCGTCAACAAATAAACCCACTTTATAGCGCTTATATACACATCACACACACATATGAATGTGATGTAAATATAGTTTCTTGTGGACCTAACAAAAACTAGTCGTAACTCATTCATGGAGGCTTTGTTCTGCTCTGAGATACCCAACAACAACATCAGATCTTCCATTAACGATCTCTCTTCTTCTTCATATACATGGCCAATGATTATGACCTCCTCTTCTACTTCTTCTTCATCTCCCACAATCATGAACATAGAGAACATTCCTAGATGCGACTGGGATCTCTCTCTCTCCGCCGTCGTTTCCTCCGCATCCACCGGATCAGACGCTATCGGAGCAATCGAGTTTGACCCTACCGGAGAGATCATAGCTACTGGAGGGATCGCGAGAAAGATCAGATCGTATCGTTTAAGCTCTTTGTTAGAGTCACGTGACGATCACGTAACAGCTTCAGATAGCTGTATCTACACGCCAGCGAAGCTTAGTAGTCTGAAATGGAGACCCGATCTATCCGGTCGGGTTATCGGGTCAGGAGATTACGACGGAGTTGTCACAGAGTACGACGTTGAGAAACAAGTGCCTGTTTCCGAGAGAGACGAGCATGGAGGTAGAAGGATTTGGAGCGTGGACTACACTCTCTACAATGGCTCTCTTATAGGCGCGTCAGGCTCCGACGACGGAACGGTTCAAATGTGGGATCCACGTAACGGAGGGACGTTGGAAGAAACGGTTAGGCCCGGAGGTGGCGCGGCGATTTGTTCGGTAGAGTTTGATCCGTTCGGTGGATCTTCCATAGCCGTTGGATGTGCTGACCGGAATGCTTACGTGTACGACATCAGACGACTCGTTGACCCTTTGATCGTATTAGACGGTCATACCAAAACGGTGACGTATGCTCGGTTCATGGATTCTCACACGATCGTTACCGGTTCGACCGACGGGAGCTTGAAGCAATGGAATATAGATAATGGACGGCGCGTGGTTCGCACGTACCGAGGGCATGTTAATAGCCGGAACTTTGTTGGGTTATCGGTTTGGAGACATGGTGGTTTGGTCGTGTCTGGGTCGGAGAATAACCAAGTGTTTGTGTACGATAAGAGGTGGGAGGAACCGGTTTGGGTTTGTGGATTGGGTCAACCGGACCGGTTTGGGGCTGACCGACGGTTTGTGAGTAGTGTTTGTTTGAGACAAGTGGATGAAGACTGGTGCACACTTGCTGCTGGAGGATCCGATGGGGCTTTAGAGATTTTCTCGGGCAAACGGAGCTAATTAGTATTTATATTATTTTTTTCTGCTCATGATTGATACAAACTGTTTTTCAGTTGATTTTATAAACGGTCTATAGCTATTAATTTTAACTAAGACTCAGGATCCCCGCGACATCGCGGGGGAATATATTTCAAAAATCATTTAAAAAAATATCAAACGAAAAAATCATAATGAATTGTAATAATTTTGAATTTTTTAATAACAAATCAATATATATTTTACAAAAATTATGATAAAGAAAATCCTCACAAGCATTTATTAAGTATATTAATATTAGAAAAACAATAATTTGTAACTAAAAAACTATTCCCAAGTGCAAAAAGCATAAACTAATAAACCAAATATTACAATGGTTTGATAAATAAGCCAAAACGTTCAACGTCAAATAAACCAAATGCTATTGTGTTAAATTAAACGGTAACAACAATTCATTTAAATATATCTTAGTATTTAAATATTTTTTAAAAATATGACGAACTTATCCGAAAAACGAAACCGTAGATATCAAATATTCCAAAAACTACAACGGTTCGTCAATTATACCAAATGTTGCAATAGTTCATCAAATATACTAAAGATAACAATGGTTCGTAACACAAAACCAAAAGTTGCAATAATTCGTCAAATAATCCAAATGTTGAAACAGTTCAATTAAATAGTTACAATCTCATTTAAATACATTTTAGTAATTAAAAATTAAGAATTTAAATAATAATTTATGAAATGTTACACCGAGAGACGCGGCGGTAGATAATTAAATGTTATAGCTATGTATAAAATAAACCAAAAATTACAATTGTTCGTGAAATAAACTAAATATATAAACCAAAGGTTGCAATTGTTCGTAGAATAAACTAAATATTGCAATGATTCGAATAAGCGGTTTCAACTGTTTATGAAGAGTTACAATAAAAAACGCAACCGTAGAAAATATTCAGAATGCAATTTATATAAAAAAAACATAACCGTAAAATATATATTTTAATTAATAAAAATA